GATTGTCTGGTAACCTGTCAGGAAGCAGTCCTGTTAAATGAGTGAGAACATAATGCTGCCGTTTTTCAGTTATTCAGGGCAGCTTCAGAAAGATCGAGCCCTTTGAAATGAGAGACATGGCAAAACTTCACACTGAACGCTGCAAGACGTTACTCTGTAATTTATTTGTCCCTTTGTGTTTCTCTATGTTTTTCTTAACACATCAGGAGTTCTTACTCTTGACAGAAAGTTTTTCTTGATTAGTGGTAACTACAACAGAGTTTATTTGATTATTCTTGGAAACAGTTCAATAATAGGAATGCTATTGTAGTTCAGTGTTCTTTAAGTTCCCAATTTTGACACAGTCACAGGCTCTGTCCAAAGTGCCTGGCAGCCAAGGAGGCTACCAAGGTTCATAGATGCAAGCTATTTATGGGATCATTGTGGATCACAGGTCAAGGGTAAAGTCCATGCTTGGCTCTTCCAGTGGAATGAATCAGGTCTCAGGCAATGGGAAAAGACACTGCCAGGCAGATTAGACAATATATGTCTGGGTCAGACAGGCATTCATTCTGACCTGCTGTAAGGCAGCTTGTTATATCTATGCTTGTCTACAGAGCAAACGTCAGATCAAATGTTTGGAGTATTTCAAACACAGTAGCCTTCCTGGTGTGTGAATCACTTGGGGTACCCATTTGATTACCAGCGAGTGGCATCACCCTGCTAACTCAGTTCTCCACTCTGCTTCTAGCCCTTCTCATGTCCATGCACTAGTGTGCACATTTGCACCAAAATGGATTGATTTCTGCAATGTGTGCTACATGGGGCTACCATTTTGCCTACTCCAGAAACTGCAATTAGTACAAAATATGGCAGCCAAGTTGTCCTTTGGGCCATCATGGAGAGGCCACATATGCCCAATATGAAGTCACTACACCAGCTACCAATATGTTTCCAGATATAGTGAAAGGGGTTGGAAATTATCTTTAAAGCGCTTCATGGCTTGAATCCAAAATAAATTCATGAGCACCTTTGCCCATATATTCCACCTCACCTGCTAAGGTCCTCTGGGGATTATCTTCTGAAGTTTGCTTCTATAAGATTACTGTCAATTACCCAGAGGACTTTCTCAGTGGTTGCCCCTAAACTACAGAACAGCCTGCCAGGAGAGATACATCAGATAGCCCAGTTTGCTTCCTTCAAGAGGAAGTTAAAAACGTATCTCTTCCAACAGATTAGTTCCCAGATTAGTTTTTTTAATATGCCTGTTTGTAGTTGACATTTTAACTGGTTTTGATCTCTTGTAAACCACTTGGAGCCTATAGGGATGGGATGGGATGGATAGATGTGGCCAATACTTTTTAATGGAATCCTTTCAGACATTCAGTTGAGCCCAGGGCAGATTGCTCACTCACTTCTGCTTTCCCCACAGTCTTCTATGGAAAGTGTGTACAAACCTGTCAGAGGTGTAAAGTTCCAGATCAACAGTCTATCTTTCCAGAAAGGCAAAGGTGACACTGGGAAACCTACAGATGGATGGCACTGCATTTTGATTCGGCCCATTTGCTGTGGCCTCTTGACAGCCTGCTGGCACTGCAAAGCCACACATTGGCCACTAGAAAATACTGCCGGTCTTCCCCAGGCAAAATTTTGGCCATAGGGCCATCTGCTGCCTGAAATTATATACCTTAACTGAAGCCACTGTTAGAGCCAAAAAGGGAGGTGTAGCAACAACAGGGGCCAGGCTGAGATTAGCCATGAACCCAGTATTCAGTGAGAATGGAGTCTCAAAGAATAATTTTGTATAGATTTGCTGCCTGCTACACTAGCTCAGCCAGGCTGATAATGCCTTAGAGGGTGGAAGTATATGCACCACACAGAGAAAATGCATCCCTTGAAAACAAGCGGTCAGGAGGACACAGATTTGCATAACATTTGCTTGTGCCAAGGGGAGGAGGGAGGCTGGTGGCCTGAGTGCCTATTCTGTCTGCTGAGTGCCAACTGATGAAGGGTAATTTCAAACCCCCTCCCCTCCCCTTCTGATGATTCTTTGACCTTAAACCAAGCTTGGACTACGTAGCCCATCAAATTGATAACCCTGCAAAAGAGATTAGCCCTTACCAGCTCTCCAAAGGAGAAGACTTACCTCTTTAAAGCAGGACACCCAGCTACCTTGGAACAGTGATCTTGCTTGAGAACAAGAGTTTGAATGATCAAACGGGGATCAAACATACCAAGCCTCTTTCTCTATTGCTTCAGAATAACTCCCCTACCACACATGTCAAACACAAGCACACATTTTCAGGCTCAGAACATCACTTTGGCCTCTGGGACAGATGCTTCCCACTAGAACTGCCGCCAGAAACATACAAGGCATTTTCAGTTACAATACTGTGGAAAAATATTTTAATTAATAGTATGCTTGCCATATCAGTTTGTCTACCATTGTCACAATAGAAGTCCACTAAGGTTCCATTCCATTACTTTTTAATTCTATCCAGTGCCTTTGGCTTCCACCCCATACATTCTTCTGAAGCAGCTTTTCATATTCATAACATCAGTGACATCTGTGTTGGATTTTATTGTACATGTAATTTCCCAACTTGATCTTTTGCCCTTCTACACTCCACTTAATAATGATTATGAGACTTTTATTTAATTTAAAAAGGACTACTGCACATGATCAAGATATGGCAGTATTATCTGATCTGGCTTTATCTGAGAAAATGGCAAATTATATTAGATATGAAGCAATTTGCTTCACTTTAAATAGCATCCTTTCTCCAAATGCCCCCAAATCTGAAATCTGGAGGGTAACAAGAAGGGAGTGAAACTATTTTTGTTGGTGCCTGCCCTCCTCTTCCCCCCTCCCCCCACACACACACCAATACCCAGCTACTGAATGCTCTTCCTAGAGAACCTTGCCAGTGTTGTCATTTCAGTACCAGGCAAATCTGTTTTTGTGCTTCAAGGCCTTTTAACACCATCTTAATATGTTAGCATTTGTTTAACCTTTAAATCAGGGCGGGGCAACTAGAATGGAGTTGGGGGCCAGATGACCCCACCCCCAGGCATCCATGGGCTGAATGATGTCAGGTGAAGACATTCTCCTGGTGGCAAAGGGGTGGTATCACAACCCCTGACCTCTTTGATTCCCAGTAGGTGTGTCAGGAGGAGGAGATTTCCAGGATATTCTCCAGGAAGAGGGCACTGTTGCATGAGGGTCTATTCAGATGGGAAGCCCCAGGAGGGAAAGCGGTATGGACATGAATTTCATAATTAGTATCAACCCCCATCAGTTTCAGCATGTGGACAGAAGGCATCCTTGATTAGAACAGCAGGACCAGGGGTGTCAGAGGCCAAGGTGCAGTCAGGTATAAGCAAGGTCAGACACCAGCAAGGTGTGGCCAAGTCAGAGGTGAAGAAAGATTCAACAGCAGGCAAGGGTCAGATAATGGCAAGGCATGTAGGGTCCAAAGGCAAAGGCAGAGTCAGGAACAAGGGAGGGTCAGATACCAGCAAGGCATGGAAATTCCAGAAGCAAAGGCAAGATCAGGGCAGGGATGAAGGTGTCGCAGAACTGGAGGCAGGATCAGGAATGTGGAGCCACCACCACAAAAGTTCGTGTTGCTGTGGGAAAACTAGGTAGAGCTGAGCAGTCTTTTCTAGCACCTCTGGCTTCTAGCTGTTTTCCAGGATGGCTGTGGCGCTAATCCGTGCTGGTGGCCACAGGTCAGATTGCAGTCCTGCAGGCTCTTGCAAGAGGAGCCAGGCTGTCTTGTCTATCACGCCACCAGGGATACCTGCACTGGTTTGCAGATCCTGACAACCACATCTTTGCAAAGCCTCCCCATGATTTCCAGGTCAAATGATGGGGGCTTGGGAGTGTCCTCAGTGGACTGGATTAGGCCTGTAGGCTGGAGATCACACTCACCTATTTAAAATATTGACAGTAATACATGTGTCTCTGCCTTCATGATATCTGAGATATATTTACCTGTTAGTTGATGTGGTGAATGTTATTTTCTGTGAAAATAACAGAATTTCCTGACTCAGTTTTGTATGCATGTTTTCTTGTTACATTGAACATTTTTAAAACGCTAAGCACAAGTCAGTTAATGTTAAGTACACTTGGACGCTATTCATTTCAATGGAGCAGTTAAGCATATTATCCCACAGAAATCAGTAGGATTTAAAAGAGCATGATTATGACATACTTGTGCCTTTTTGGTTTCCCGCTCTTCATTTGAACAGATGACATATTCAAGTTTTTTAAAATTGTGTTTTTTTTTTTTAGTATGCTTGTATTTTAAATAGTACTGAGAGTGAGGCATGCAACATTACAATGTTGATAACATACAAGATTTAAAGGGCTAGACATATGAAAATACTTAAAGCTTGCTTTGGTAGCAAGTATGGCAAACTGTTTATGAAGTGAAGCTGCGTAGAGCTAATGGAAGAGTATCCGAAAAAACTACTGGGTAGATCACATTAATGAAAATGTACCCAGTGGAAAGTGAAATAAGATATTGGCTGGGATTTTACAGTATTAAATGTGAGACATGAAGGCTGGTGTGTGTTGTTGTATTAGTTAAAATAGGCTTTCTGAGACTTTTATAATCCAAATATTCAGCCTTAGCTAATGTTTATTGGGTTTATTAAAGGAGACCTGAAAAATATCCCCTAAGTTAAAAACTCTAGGCTGTAATGTTATCACTAAGGTTAGAGACTGGTTAGAGATCTACATTCTTAAGCACGTCTTATAGCCACAAAATACTGGTTTGGTAGAAATACTGAAATTATTATACTGACAGCTTTTTAAAGATTTTTTAATCATACAATTGTCCAATCATTTGGTCATACTTAATTATTGAACAAGTCTGTGTAGTGGAAAAATCTAATGAGGTGGCTTCCTGCAGATTTTGGGAAGTTTGTATTAAGTATGGGATAACTTACAATTTAATTTTAAAAGTTAAAATTCACAGTAAGAAGGAAAGGTTATTTCTATTTTTTCATATAGGATTCTGAATGACCATGCCTTGTGAACTGTTTTGCTCCTATCAGCACTGGAATGGACAGGCACACAGGTCGCCTGGTAACTAAGGTGAGGCATATTGTATTTCTTTCTAAATTGTCATGTCTCTGTGTGAGTGTTATATGCAAATCTATGCAAATCTGTGCCTTCTTTTGTCCTGTGTTTTTGGTGAAGTAGTAGTACTTTTTTTAAAGCAATATCCAGGTGCACACTTTAAATGATAGTAAAGATAGTATAGAGGGAACTACAAGGATGCTTAGCAGATATATTTAAGCATAGTGTGGTACTGTTGTGTCTTATGTTGCTGATGAGGGTCTAAGACTGAGACAGTGATTTGCCGAAGACCACTTACGGACATCATGACCAAGCTGACATTTAAACCAAGCAACATGACTGCAGGAGTATCAAGTTCATGGACCATACACAGTTCATCTGTGCTTTTCCCTCAGCCAGCACAGGCCCTTGCTGCCATCATATGCGGATTAATTTTCAAGCTACACATTACACAGTGGTAGGATAACCCATTTCTGAGTTCTGGCTTGGTCAGACCCCAGTGAATGGGGAGACAGCAGGAACCTGGGAGTGGGAGACACAAGGTGGGATGGGCACAGACAGGAGGAAAAGTCAACACAACAGTTCCTGAAATTTAAGGGCATAGCAGGTATAAGAGGTAGGTGGGCAACAGGTAATCAGGCAGGAAAACAGCCCAGAAGCACAAGAGAGGAAACCAAAAGTGTCATGGAATAATATGCTAGCTAAGCATCTTCTTGCAGTTCTTTCTTCCAACCAGCAGCCTTGGTGGTGCAGGTAGCAGAAACCTGATTAGTCTTTAAGGCCTCTGTAACAGCATTCTGCGCACTTTAATCATGCCGGCCACATGACCACGGAAACTGTCTGCGGACAAACGCTGGCTCCCTCGGCTAGGAAACAGAGATGAGCACCGCCCCCAAGAGTCAGGCATGACTGGACTTTACTGTCATGGGGAAAACTTCACCTTTACCTTGATGGTAGACACTGGGATACCATTAGGAAATGTTGTACTGTCCCTATTCTTGACCTGTGGTAAACCCTGTCATCAGCAACAGCTTCATTTTAACCAATAAGCATGTTTCTCCAGTCATTAGAATTTCCTCTACAGCCAATTTACCTGCAGCAACAATTATCAGTATCACTGATCTGTGTGAACATTCAGCAGCCAATGGTTAATAACAGAACACTACTTAGGAAGGCATCTGATGGTGAAACAATTTTCAACTGAGATATTGAAAACAATTTTCAACTGGAGAGCCAGTGTGGTGTAGTGGTTAAGAGCATGGGACTGGGATTCAGACGATTTGGATTCTAGTCCCCACTCAGCCATGGAGCCAACTGAGAGCCAGTCACAGACTCTCAGCCCAACCTACCTCACAGGGTTGTTGTTGTGGGGATAAGATGGAGGAGGAGAATGATGTAAGCTGTCTTGAGCCCTTTGTAGGAAAAAGGCAGGATATAAATCGAAAAATAAATAAATGAATATCAAATATGACCATAACTTGTCTAAGACACCACACATATTATTTAATATGCAATATCAAGTCACCCACAAGAGATGTATATTTACCTGCTCTCAGAGGTAGGGTCGTTTTCCAGCTGTTGGATGAGAAGTTTAGCTATGGCAGTGAAACTGTTACTCATACGATAAATGCCTCTGCTCTGGATACCTAGGATATTGGGGAAGGTGTCTGTGATGTGCTTGATCTCCAACAAAAGGATGTGATGGAAGGAATGTTCCATGTTGGCCAGCTGATTAACCAAATAGATCAGGCAGATTCGGGCTCTTTCCTATTCATTAAGAAAAGATGCATTTAAAAATGAATATCACAGTTTAAAAGTTGTAATAACTTTGGCAGAATAATGAAGAAACCCAGAACTGCTCTGCTAGCTGTTTACAGACTGCTCGAAACTGTTTGTTTTTAAAGGCTCTTGCAAAAAGCCAGTGTGGTATAGAGATTAAGAGTGCAGGACCAGGACTCAGGCGACCTGGGTTCTAGTCCCTGCTCAGCCATGGAGCTGACTGGGTGACTTTGGGCCAGCCACTGACTGGCTACCTCACAGAGGTGTTGTCGTGGGGAAAAGATTGAGAGCAGAAGGAGAATTATTTAAGCCACTCTGAGTTCTTTGTAAGAAAAAAAAAAGGTGGGGTATAAATTATTTTAAAAAGCAAAATGTATAAAAAATTACAAGTACAATAGGGATAAACATGCTACAGAGATTTAGGGAAAGTTAATTTGCAAATGATGCAAACAAAATTTGCATGGCATATAGACACCATTCACACTGCTTAATATTACATCAAGTGTACAGAACTTCTATAGTACTTCTGTATGGGAAACTGCTGAGGAATGTGCAGAGTCACTGGCAACCATATTGGGCCAGCACTCTGTTTGAGGCAGCTTTGGAGCTGTTATGCTCCCAGCACTTCCCAGTTCCATACTGCCCCCCGCCACCACACCCCCATGAAAACAGCAGCAGCTGCCCTCCTGCTGACTCTCTTTCTTTTCCTTGGACAACAGGCTTGTGATGTTCTTCTAGCTCACTTGCATACCAGAAGAGATGGACTGGATTGCAATAAGGGTAGGTGGAGGCGCCAGTTTAGATCAGCATCAACTGCAGCAATCTCTGTACTCATAAAAGCAAAGATCGGCTGTCTGATTACCTTAGGCATGCTTACTTGGGAATCTTCGTCCATGTTGGGCCTTATTCCCAAGCAGTGTGCATAGGATTGCTGTCTAAATATTGCATCTGTGGTTTATTTCCCTTTTCTTAAATGCAACTGCAGGAGCTGCCTGTTTGATCATGGGATAGCAAAGAGTGCAATGTTGAACCATCTCTCCACACCTGTTTTCCTAATCTAAAGTGCACCTAAAGCTACCATGGGTCCAGTAGGGTAAAAATGCAGACACAGCTGCTGGTACATGGAGCTTGTTCAAGGCTTGTTTCAAGGTGTTGCCAGAAAGGGAAGACTACATATTGTTTAATGGGAAGCAACTCTTGCCAGGACAGTCTCCTAGCTTTCATCTCTGCCAAGATAAATCTACCACAACGTAGCTGAGCTTTATTATAGCAATTTGCCCTTGTCATATCCCATAATGAACATGCTTTGAGACAGCGGTGTTATCCAGCTACCTCTTAGTACTCTCACTAGTGCTTTAATGTCACATACACTTTGGACTTCGCTCCTTATTCCAGAGCACTCGTTTATAAAGCCATTTTCTCTGACTGCTCCTAGTGGACAGACAGATTAAAATACAACTTTGCAAAGGTGCAAAGCATAAGGATATTTACATGCCAGACTGGCTAGACTGAAAGTCTAAAAAAGCCAGAGCTTTTGCCTGTTGTCACTAGATGGAAGCCCAAGAAAATTCTAACATGTGGATTTGCTACTGTTTATTTCTTGAAGCTGCAGATTGCTATATAATATAGATTATTTGAACTGCGGCTTTACAACATGTACTTCTTGCATTTAAAAAGCATATAACTAATTTAGAAAGTCATGGTTTTTCAATCTCTCTCTCTGGACAGATCAAGGCATAAACAGGGACTTAAGAAGAATTAATTATGTTAACTTAATTAACATTTAAAGAACTAATTTATTTCTAAAATTATAGTTGCAGTACACCCAAGCTGAAGAAGGTTCTACCAGGGCTTTCCTACTTTGATCCAGCTGGCAAGAATCCATAAAAGTAGAGTTGTCAAGAAATAATAAATTATCCCATGATGGGTTGTGCAATTAATATGCAAAAAGAAAAGAAGCTCAGAAAATAAAATCTTTCATCAGCATGAAAGAAATGATTGATGTATGCATGTTTGTTGTTATTGTTATTGTAGACTTGATTGGGTGGGGAGAGTGCTATTTACATTCTTTATGGAAAGCAGGATTCCTGTCTTTATGGTATACAATTGCATTTGATGACAGGAGAGTGAAGTTAACATAAAGTGTTGCAACAACTTAAAATATTTCATTTCCTACATAAAAAGGGAAACGACAGAAGAAATACATGTAGTGATCCTAGATCAGCGGTGGTAAACCTATGACACGTGTGCCACAGCAGGCACGTGAGCCAAGTCACCCCAGCATCACCCCAGCAGCTGAGCATTGGATAACAGCACAAATAGGGCCCATGCGCATGCTCGGAAAGGAGTAGTGGCGCCAGGCAATGACATCACGAGCTGCGACTCATTATCCACAACTTGTCACAGCTTTCACATGGCTGGTCAGTGTGCTGCCAAGTGTGTGTGTGTGTGTGTGTGTGTGTGTGTGTATTTGCTTGGACTGGCTGTGAGTTGTTTTTTTCTAAACTAAAACCTTAGTTTTCAGTTTTTATTGTAGTGTTGGCACTTTGCGATAAATAGGTAGGTTTTGGGTTGCAGTTTGGGCATGTGGTCTATAAAAGGTTCACCATCACAGCATTAGGGTTAGAAAAATGAACTGTCCTGATATGATTTTGATGGTTGGAATGTGTTTAGAATGGGCACAAATGATGAGCAGTGCAGAAAAAGCTACTCAAGGAAGTCTTTTTCAAAATCGCCCCTTCCAGTGGTATGTAACCCCTGTATTAGGGCTAGGGGTGTGCACCAGGGTAGGGTTAGGAAAATGAGGTGTCCTGGTAAGTTTTTGATGGTTGGAATGTGTTTAAAATGGGCAGAAAAGATGAGCTGCAGAAAAAGCTACTCAAGGAAGTCCTTTTCAACATTGCTCTCTTTACAATGGAACTTTACCCCTCTATTAGGGTTAGGGGAGTGCACCATGGCAGGGTTAGGGTTACAAAAACAAGGTGTCCTGGCATGATTTTGATAGTTGGAATGTGTTTAGAATGGGCGGAAATGATGAGCTGTGCAGAAAAAGCTACTCAAGGAAGGCTTTTTCAAAATCACCCTCTTTTCAATGGAACTTTCACCCCTATGTTAGGCTTAGGGGAGTGCACCAGGGTAAGGTCAGGGCAGTGGTGGTGAACCTATGGCACCCATGCCACAGCGGGCATGCAGGGATCTCTCTGTCAGCATGCTAGCCAAGTCACCCGAGCATCGCCCCAGCAACTGAGCATTGGATAACAGCGTACATAGGGGCCATGCGCATGCTCAGAAAGGAGTAGTGGTGCCAGGCGATGACGTCATGAGCCACCACTCATTAGCCGCGACTCGTCCGAGCTTTCACATGGCTGGTCAGTGCACTGCCAAGGATATATATGTGTGTGTGTGTGTGTGTGTGTGTGTGTGTATTTGCTGGACTGGATGTGAGTTGTTTTTTCTAAACTAAAACCTCAGTTTTCCAGTTTTATTGTAGTGTTGGCATTTTGCGATAAATAAGTGGGTTTTGGGTTGCAGTTTGGGCACTTGGTCTCTAAAAGTTTTGCCATTACAGCCCTATATATATCCTGGTCAAGTCACTGATATCAGAGTAAATAATTAGGGCATTATGCAGTGCCGTAGATGGTATTTTGGAAAAGTTATATTTAACAGAGACAGGATCGTGTTAAGATTTCTTTAAGCAAGACCCATCAAGTCAATTAAACATTAGGAACAAAATATGAGCCAAAATAGACATAAAGGATCCTTTCTTTTACTTTTTGCCAGTTTGCTTGCCTGTTTCATGGGCAAGCGCCAATTACAGAAACAACAGAAGTTGTCAGACACTAGGAGTGTATATAAGCTGACTGCTGTGTATCAACATCCTTTGTGACGTACAGATGACTCTGGGTTGTACCTATTTGCATATACTTAATAGCTGAATGGAACAACCAAAACTTTACGGCTGTCATGGGTCAGCTTATACAATGCAGGAGAAGAAATAAATTGGAGTCCAGTACCAACATTTACTTTAATTTACTGGACTAGATTCAGGTGACTCACAATTGGTTCCACTGAAACCAGTGGAATGTAGGTTACACAATCTTTTCACATTGTTTTATATGGGAATAAAACTAAGGACTTCTTTACAATAGGCATTTAAACTGGTGCTTTACTGACGTTGGTTCTTCCACTTCCTTCATGGAAGAAAGAACAGGCTGTCTGCATTTTTATTTTTAAAAAGAGCATTAATGTGTTCAACTATTCACCCACAGCTTTATTAAGACAGACATAATTTTCTGTTGTAATTTATAATAAAATGTAATTATTATATGAACAACACCTTCAAGCATTAGGTGGTGCTGTTTCATATAACACTACTTTATCAAGGCGCTATGCTTAGGGCTTGTCTGGCTTGGGAACAGTTCCTGAAAGTCAACACTAAGCTAGCTGTCTGTGGTGCTAACTTGCAAAAGATGAATGGAGCTATTATTGTTTACTTTATATATCACCCAGGAGCTCAAGCACTCTTGATGGTTTACAACAGCACCTTAAAATACAATATAAAGTGCACCAAATTAAAAGATTATTAAAAAGCTTACAACAGAATATTTTAAACCAAATAATCTGAAGACCCATGTAGCAACTAGCAAGCACCAGCAGACTAAGTGAATTCCCTGAGATAAAGGACAGTCTTTGTCTGGAGCCAAAAGGTTAGTGAAGTTGGTGCCAGGCAGGCCTCAGTGGGGAGCTCATTCCATAACTGGGGGGGGGGGGGGGAGCGCTAAAAAGGTGCATTTGTTCCTCTGTTAGAGAAACTTACTTTTTAAAGTGTAAAGCCACTCCAGGGGTTTCGTAAAGTGTAAAGCCACTCCACTGTGCATAGCCATTTTCCTGCTTCAAGTGTGCTGAACCATTCCCCACCCCATACCTGGACATAGCAAGGGCATGACGCAGCTTGCCATGCCCAAATGAGTGGCCTTAATCAGGCACAGTGATCCATGGACGGATCCTTAGCGCATATTAAAACAACCACCAGATTCACCAGATAGTTTTAGCAAGGATTGTAGATGCTCCAGACAAGATGAATCACTGGATTCATAAGGAAAAGATCACAGGGTACATCTATGGATAGAAACCAGTTTACTGCTCATATATCTCCATGTAGCAGCACAAACAAACTGAAGTGGTTTCGTCTTCTGCTTTCATGAAATGCTTATAATTAAATAACTATGCTAGATTAGCTTATTATTTCAATCGGTATTCTGATGATTCATTTTTAAAAACCCTTCGGCTTTATATTGCCAGCTGTGTTTTTGTTTATTTCATCTTCAGCCCACTGTTATAAGTAACAAACAACACGAGCTGATGTTTCAAAGCTAAATATGTATTTGGTTTGGTTTATTTCAAAATGAGATTGTGGCATAGTCATAAATTATTACAAGCTATGCAAGACATGGAGAAATACCACCTCTTTAAAAAAAAATCTGGGAAAAAGAATAGCCCAAACAAATGTAAAACCTAAATTTGAAACCTGGGAGGAAAAAAGGAGGTACAATCACTTTCTTAAGGATAAAAATATTTCTTCTAACCATGCATGAAAACTGCTGGAGGAATTTTATTCTATAGTGGTTTCCTGAGTGGCAATGTACTGAATGCCAAAAAGGGGGAGGAAGTATCAACAAAAAAGAAGACACAAGTTTGTATAAAATTTTCCTGTGCTAATTGATATGTATAGATGCAAATTCAGAAATAATTGTTACATGCCATCAAGTTGGTTCTGACTTGTGGTGACCCTATGAATGGAAACTCTCCAAAATGTCCTGTCTATGAAGCCCTGCTTAGCTCTTGCAAATTCAAAGCTGTGGCTTCCTTTATGGAGCTGGTCCATCTCTTATTTGGTCTTCCATTTCTTCTTCTGCCTTCAGCTTCCCCTAACATGATTGTCTTCTCCAGAGAGTTTTGCCTTCTCATTCTCTTTTTTTTAAATCATTTTTGCTTCTAGGGAAAACCCTGGCTTGATTTGTTCTAGGACTCCCTTGTTGGTGTTCCTGCCAGTCCAGGGTATTCACAGAGTTCTCCTCTAGCACCATGTTCCAAATGTATCAAGTTTCTTCCGATCAGCTTTCTTTATTATTAAGGTTTCACATCCATATACAGTAACAGAAATACTTACTATGAATTAAAAAAACACACAGTATATCTCACTATAGCATGTCCAGGGGACCTGTGTGCCTCTTTAGTCTGTTTCAATGTCTTGACTGCTTGCCCTCCTTATGGTTCTTGCACCTCCATAAGATGGTGCAATCTTATGGACATTTAGGGAGAAAATAGTCCTACAATTCCCAGCATCCCCCCAGGCAGCCATGCTGGCTGGTGCATGCTGGGAACTGTAGACCTCTCTTCTGTCTAAACATGCATGGGGTTGCACTCTTAATCTTTGAACTGGACTTGTATTGTGCTAGGTAACTCACAATACCTCACCAGCCATTTTAGTTCATTTTGTTCAAGATAATTTTATTGGCCTGAACAAAATGTGCAGATGCACATTTATCATTTACCATCACACCAAAGCATGGATTTTACCATTTCACAGTAGCACAAACTGTATTTCTTTCAGCCCCTGTTTACCTCTGTCAGCTGCCATACCTGCGCAATTATGCGAAAGCCATGCAAACCCTTGACAGCCATGAAACCTTTCCTCTTGGGCTTACCTACCAGAAGTAGATATTCACGAAAGCAAGAGCGAGAGCAATTTATTTTGTTCATTATAAATGAACAAAATATTCCAATGACATTGAACTAGTTTGATTAGAAATGAATTTAATATGTTCTTATATTCTCAAAGTTATTTCTGTATATGTACTCTGTACCTGAATGGGATTATTTGTGGGAAAGTCACTGATAAAATCTGATCCTATTTAAAATCTGATCTTATAAAATCGGATTGTATTTAAAATTCTTATACATGTGTGTTTTGCTCTTAAGAATCAAGGCAGTGGGGCATAAAAGAGTTAAAATATTCTGGAAACAGATATTGTTTAGTTTGCATACATTTATGGTTTGCTTGCATGAGTAAAGATACGTTTTCATTTTTTTTCCCCACAGAGGAGTTATAATTTAAAGAGAATGTAGACTTCACTAATTCACGAAAGTATAACTTGAAAGCACTGTGGATTTGGCAATGGCTGCTAGAATTTTTGGAGGCTTTGGTATTGATGGAATGATAATTTTTAACCCAAATTCCAGCTTCCACCAGATTCTCAAAGCAAATGTAATTTCCCTATCTTTCCTAAATGTCCAAATAGTGCAAATAAAGAACTAAATAAGAGGCCTGCCAATCCTGGAGGATATTTTCAATGCATTTACATAGATGCATTTTTAAATGAAATATTACAAACTAGGCACAATAGTTTCACCCTGATATTTAAAAAGCAGCCCGCTCAGAAGTTAAATGCTAGTCCTGGCAATCACACTTAAATATCTGGGGATCTCAATAAATAAAGATGCAAGAACAGGGATTAAGGCAAGAGTAAACCTTATTTGACAAGCTAATTCTTATTTTTATAACTTAACTATTCACCAGGCATTTGGATCTGGTTATAAAGCAATATTGCTCAGACCTTTTGGATTTTCAAAGCAGGATGGCAGATATGGAACCTGTATACCCAAGTTTTCTGTTCTTTGCCTGTTGCTTCCCTAAATGTATTTTTAAATATCAACTGAAAGGTCTTCCGGATGTCACTGAAACTGGACCTTGAAACGAAAATGTCCAATCTACGTCATCCCTTCAAATATGTGTTATTGCAAATGGCCCAGCCAGACTGTAACTAAACACTCTGCTAAGTCAGCGTGTCAGAATTATGTACAGGAATGAGGAAGGCAAAAGGATATAACGTTGGAAGCTAAATATTTAAGCAGATACATTAATGAGAAATAACATTTTGCCCACCACAGGTACAGGGCCTGGACACACGCTTAGAGCTTAGAAGCTCTGATGGAATGAAATGGGAATTCCACCACCAGTTTCTTGTTTTTCTTATTGCTAACTCTAGATAAAGTTAGATTCTTAAAGCTAAGAAGTGCACAGCATGAAGCACAGCAGGAGTGGAGATTGCGGCCGGGCCTTGTTTCATGCACTAGATTCATGCACGTGCTGAGGATTCTGTGTATCAAGGGCAGGGGGCACTGAAAAATGCCCCCTTCAAAATCTTTCAGTGCAAACAACTAAACTTAAACTATTCAGGGCATTTTTTAACTAACCCTGGACAGGCAAACCTCCAATCTGGCACATCTGTATAGAGCAAATAAATACTATATGTATCAGATGCAAATGCATCCTGTTGTTTTACATTATATGAGAAAGCATATGAGTGCAAGCAGATAGTCCAGGATTTAATGGTGAAGAAACGTTATGAAAGATTTGCATAACTCACTGAACATTGCTTAAACCTTGACCTAGAAAATGAAAGCTCAATTAGGTAGAAGCTAGGCTGCTCCCTCCTGCAGGGTTTACTCTGCTAGCTAACAGTTCTTTTGATTTACTCACAACACTCTCAGATGCATACATTCAAACCAGTTTGCAAGACACAGGGCATTATAGATGCACTAAGCGCCCACTGAGCACAGTCTTCTTCCTCGGCATTTCCTAGAGCCTCACTCCTTAATATTTTAAAAAAGTTTTGGGTTCCTAATTCCAAAGTAATGCTTATTTGCTAACTACAAGATTGCAGGTACAAGTAGCTGCCTTCTTCCTGTTGCTCTCCATTAGCCATGTCCCATCACTGCTGCCATTGGAAGTGATGGAGTGGCTGAACTACATCATGTGCTTCTGTTGGGCATTCTGATGTCCCCTCCTCTAGAGAGAGCTGGAGAAACAGGACTCTGCCTCCACCTCTCCCCTATGCTCAGAAGTGACTGCAACCCAATGGGAAAGGCGTACGACTTGCTTGGACCATTAAGGTCAGGTTCAAGAACTCTCTTCTTCTTCAGGAGAGAAAATGTGGAGGTAAATGGCCCAGGGATGCTGGCAATCAGCCCACTGACTGTCAGTCATACCCAGTTAAAGCTCTGCCTAGGATCTGGGAGAAGCCAGACTGAGTCCTTGGCTAGGGATCAGACTGGCAAGTTATCATGATGGGACTGTAACCAAACCAAATACTGTATTTACTGGATTAGATATATTATCCTGCATGACACAAGTAACTCATTATGTCCTGGGATATAGAGTATGCGTTCTATTCACAGAAACTACTAGACAAAACGAGGAACCATTCATCACAGATGAGATGAGAACCAAGAAAAGAAAGAAAAATTAACAACCCTGTAGTTCATTACATCTACTTTCTTACAATGAACAGAAGCAATATACAGTGAGCAGAAGCCTTGAGTGCCATTTTCGGTGGAAAGGTGAGGTGCAAGTCAAATACTCCTGATGTAACAGAGCAGCCTAATGCATATTGTAACAGCATCTTGGTTTTCAAGGATAGCGAGTTAATACTGTGCTCAAGATCCATAGACCTTAGATAACTGAATAAGAAAAACTGCTCTCCCAATAGAAGAATTTCAATTTGGAGGGCTGTTTGCATGAATGACAGTATTTATGCTTATGCTTGTTATTTTTATATTGTTACTATTGTATTTTTCTTCATGTTGTGAGCCGCCCCGAGGCTTCGGCGAATGGGGCGGCATATAAATGTTTTAATAAATAAATATAATAAATAAGAGCCTTCCTAATTTCTACTACAGTCACTTGCAAGACATCCAGCAGTGCTCCAGAACCAGGATGGGGGCAGGAATCCTTCTGGAATCTGTCCCTCCAGAATCTGCAAACTTCTTCTCATGCTTGGCCTGGTTCTGCAAAGCAAGCAATGCTCATCGATTCTCAGTGGCACAACTGGCAACCCTTCCTTTCAGAGGTGGGGCGGATGCAGGAGAGGGGGGCTGTGCGTGCACATGCCAGCTGCCATTCCTGGTGACCAACCTCCTTCCCTGCTCACTGCTCCTGATGGCAATGGCAGGCATGGCGGAATGGAGCTGCTTGTGCCGCATGCGGGGCTGGATTCCTGGTGAGTGCTCGGCGAACGTGGGCATGCTTACCAGGAACTTGGACTCGCCCACTGCAAAACAGACTGGAATCTAGGAAGTCAAAACCAGGAAATCCAACTGATTCCTCACAGTCATACCACAGAAAAAAGCACACAAATCTATCCAAATAGCTATCTTGTCTCTGATCTGTCACGTGCTTAAGATATGAACTACATCAACATATTTCAACTATTTTAAACACTATAGATCAGAAAAACAAGCAAACACAATGCATGGGTTAACATGACACAAGAACCCGTGGTGAAAATTAGGGGTGCATGAGGAGTGGGAGTGGGCATCTGTCAGATTTCCTCAGATCGATTCTCTGGCCTCCTTTCTCTCTTCCCTAAATCCATCACTTGCTTAGTATGTGCACAGACGTCAGCAGGAAACGAGTTCCGGTGGAGCCTTACTTCTGCACATACGACTTGCAGGCTTTGCATACTTGGTGCAAAGAATTACATAAAGTGTGTATCATGCAAGGAATCCACTAGTGTTCCCAAATGAGGGAAAGAGTACAGCAATTCCAAGAGGACCTGCTTCCATCCTCATCCTCGCATCCCTAGTGAAATTGTACTCTTGCATCCATTTGGACCTAATCCCAGAGGTCCAGCAAGGTAGGGTTAGTTTTCTGAAACCACAGAAAGAATCAATGGAATGTTCAAAGGTTTCTACACTTCACTGTGGCTCCTCCAGTCATTCAGATCTGGGACCGCCATTTTGCTATTATTGGTATGGAGAGTTCCCTGGCAAGGTCAGCTGTGAAAGTGGCTGTTTCTCTATTGCTCTCTGATGCAGACTACAACAAGGAATTAATTAGTTCAAAAACTACATCAGAGATGAGCTGAGAAAACAATGTCCTTGTCTGTGCTTAAATCAGAAAACAAGCAAACAATGGATTTGTTCACATGACGCAAGAAGCAACACATGTACCATTGCTTGTTTTACTTCCATTGGCCAAGTGATGTGTCTGTTTTCCTGTTTACTTTTGGAAACAAGGAGGCAGTATGAAAATATGCAAGAGAATGGAAGAATCATAGCAAAACTGTTCTCATGTAACAAACATCTCTGTGGGGCTAGAGTGACTGGGAAGTGCCATAGACACGCAGGCATACTTGAGATGGGAAAAGGGTAACCTGCCTCAGGACTGCAGTGGACCAGTCAGGAGGCAACTGCTGTGCTCCACAGACAAGCATGAGGCCAGGACAACAAAGTGGGGAGTACAGAAACCAGGCTGCCCATGTAACCACTGATTGTCTGACTAGCAAGTTCAGGCAAAAATCCTCACACTGTGGAAACAGTGGAGGTTATTTGCCATGTGGTGTGAACCAAGCCAATGTCTACAACAGTAATGGGCGTTCCAAGGCAGTGTACATATAGAACCTAAGTTGTTAACTATACTTAATGCAGCTTTTAGATTATAAAAACAAGAGACTCAAACTTAGTCTCATACACCTTTCCAGTATGTTTGAAAATGAAGAGTATTCACCTCTTCTGTCTCCTAATGAGTGAATCTACATTCTTCTAATTGAGAAAGCTGCTGTGAGGAAGAGGGGTGATTAATATTTTTCTCCCTGTGGATATTAATTAACCAGAGCTAATATTAAAACAATTATAAATTACAGGAAATGTTAGTGGTCCATGTAAATAGAATACCCAGTTACATAAAATAAATGTTTTACTGGAACACCACACAAAACCTTCAAGGAAGCAGGAAAACAGATCTAATGTTAACACTTAATCGGCATGATACACTGGACTTTGGTTTCACTTGGAAATCTGCATTCAGTTCCAAGCAACATTATTAGAAATACAGAGACATGGGTTTGTTACAGCTTGTTTGAGAATGTTTACATGGGATGAGTGTGTGGGCAAGTATACTTTATTCACACATTAAAGGGAACATTAAAAAGCAAAATGATCAAATGATCAATTGATTGCTTCTAATCAATTTCATTACACTACAGTTTTGATGGGACATAGAAAATACCACATTTCTGATCTTCTCACAACTAAAAAAGAGTGGAAGAAAAGCTAGGTAAAAGAGAATCACATTCCAGTCCATACAGAAAAGTGGATTTTCAAATCTCTTGGCAAAAATTCAAAAAAGAGTTAAGTGTGCTTAAGCTCATTGATATCCACGACCTTAACTCTGTGTTGGATCATGCCCTCTCACTTTTAATGATACATGCATGGAAAGAGACCTTCATCAAAAGCCATGTCACTAAGACATATTTTATTCATCAAGTCTTAATGTGCTTCTGTTACACTGATTATCTAAACCAGAGATAACGTCTAACACAAACTACAATAACTTGATAAAATTTTGTTGAACTACTCTCAGGTCTTTCTTGGTTCAACCATCTGAAGTGGGCCTTCAAATCTGAAGGCAGGCCATTTATCAGAGTGCTTACAATCTGTCTTCTAGTTCTGCCAATGAGTACATTCACATAAAGTAAGATTTATGACTTGTAGGTGCTGTCAGTAAGCCACCACATGACAATCCGCAGAACAAAGTATCACAGTTCATTCTGCACAGGATACCCAAGAAATATTACAGGGTGAAGCAAGATAGGTACAAAGAAAAGCAATATTGTCCCTAAAATTGGCCAGGATCAAAATCTCAATAATAATAATCAAAGGTCATGTTGCTAGGGGATCAGATCATAAAGTATGAAGAGAATAAAACAAAAATGTCAGTGGGGAGAGGAGGAGGAAATCCTAGTCACAGTGCTTTTCAATTCACTTGCTATATTGGGATAAGAATTTTTTTAAAAATCTGGGCACTACATGACCAGTCTTAAATTAAGTGACCAGATGTTTGAGGCTTTAAAAATGCTGTAAGCTTCTCAGCAAGCTGCACAACTGTTTCACCCCACAATTCCTACATCAGCCACTGGCCAAGCATAATATATGAGGTAAGAATTGGCTCACGTTTGGAGGTTCGGGGCCAAACTAGGCAAATGCACACATTTAACAGGTCCAATTTGTGTTCAAATAGTAGCCAGGAGGTGGGCTGTCAGTATCATCATCCGCAACTCAGGAAACAGACCTTAATCTTTTCTTCCTGCCCTGTAACACCTATCATCTCTACCTCCTCCAAGATTTGCTCCTAGGAATAATAGCAACCCCATGGTTACTGTGGCTGAACAAAAAATAAGCAATTAAATAGAGCCCACTGCAGTTATTCAAAAGCTCTTTCTGCAGACAAGCAGCCAATTCCACCCATCACCACAACCCACCATGTGCTGACTGCCATTTTAAATATGCAAGCTGTAGTGGGTGCACATCATGGCTTGTTGTGCTGACCAGGGCATTGTGCATCATATGAAGGTTAAACAACCACCAGATAACCTTAGAATAACCCATGATGGCTTAGCCTTATGTACAAACTCACTTCATAACATTCCCATGGGATGGGAGATATGTACAATGATCAAATGTAGGCTGGGGCCAAAAACTGGCAAAAAACAGAAGTGACTCAAAAGTGATATGAAATCACAAAAATCACAGTCTGTTTGGTGCCAGCATTTCAGAAATTAATTCCTTCCTTGCTGTTTCTGGGGATCAAAAACTACCATGGGGACATCACCACTTTTGCAAAATCAAACAGGGCTTAGTGTTGTGCATTGTGCTCTATTTTTTCACTTAATTTGTTTAGAAATGAACTCTCTAACAAAGGAAAAATATCTCCTCCACACCACTCAAAGTAGCTCTGAAGAGTTGAAACACTTTAAAACAAAAATACCATATAAAACTATACACTTAGTTAAAGAATGGATTTATTTATTAAATTTATAGGCCACTGAATAACCCAAAAGGGCTCTCTAAAAGCAGCAAACAACAAAAAAAGGAGACCTACATTAAAATTCCAAGTTATGGGGTGGTGGTGGGGATGACTGCTGGTAGTAGAATGTGGTCTTACAGATAACAAGTCAGTTAAATCAGGTCTCAGGGTACAGGTGTTGTGCTGGATTATGCACAGCTCCCAGCACTAATTCAACCCCTTCATTCTGGTAAACTTTGGGCAGTATTATGAAGTTGCCTCTGTGCTAGTGGAACAACCAATGGGAAGCTAGCACAGGTTTCACAATCAAAACTAGCTGGGAGGAAAAAAACATTTCTGGGATAGGATGAGTTAGCAGAGCTCCCAAGAAAGGGCAAGGGAAGCCTGAAAAAGGGAACTCTGCTGATCTGTCCTATTTCAGAATGTGTTGTTCTGGCTAGCTTCCTAAGTTGGGCCGGGATCGTTTCTGTTTGTGCAACGTATTTAGGGCTAGCAAACTGTCAGCACCGGATCCTGCCTTTTAAGCTAATAGCAGCGCTGCCCTCATAAGGAGTCCTTTGGGGTAACAATCTGGCAGGGGTGGCCAGAACCACCAAGCGGAGGTGATCTGTGTCTCCTCATTGCCCTGCCCTGCACTTTTCACCACACTTTTGGTGTTGCCCAATTAGTTGGGGCATTTCAGAGGAGGAGAGATGGAAGCAGGCGAGGCCTCAGGATAGCTCCTTTCCGGACCCATCCAGTCTTCTCACTTCCCAAACCAAAAACCCCTCTCCCTTCTTCTCAGGGATCATGTTTCAACCTCAAAGAGTGACTCTTTCTGTGCCTCTGCAAAAGGGTGTGTGTGGGGGGGGGGGGAGTGGGTGTTAGAGCGCCAATTCCCAGTCTCTGACCTCAAATCTAGGAATTTGAGCCATCCTATGGCCCATCAGTTGTGATCTTGGGCTTACTCCCTTAGAGGAGTTATTTCAGGTTTGAAGTGCATTGCTTCCCAAGCTAATTCATCCTGCCCAATGGCTCTTTTCACCACAACGGAATTAGATCAGTTTCCTTTCATTTTAGGTATTTTTAGGTCACGTATCAGGACAATGTCAACTCCAGCCAACTTCCAAACTACAGAGCATGATGAAATCACACTTCTGATAAAATAGCAAGAGTATAAAACAACCCATTATAATGTTCAAAATACCAAGAAAAGAAAACATTGAGCATACCTACATTCAGTGACATTTTTAAACACAGTTCAAACAATTCGACGCACAAACAAGCCCATAAATATTCAAATAATTAAAGCTGATAGTGCCCTGAACAGGTGGTCACAGCCGGGCAGGATTAGCATTGCCTGATATTCATCACTAGTACTGGCTCAAGGGGGACAATTTCCTTAGTTCCTCCTCACCACCACAGTTGAGGCTTAACTTCCTTCAACAGTCTGTGCCTCCTGGAGGGCAAGAAATGTGTGGTGCTCATCAGACTGGGTTTTTTTGTGGGGCGCGGGTAATTTTCTTTTTAATTTACAAACTAGTATTTTTCTGCATACCTGGCTCAAGGCCAGGCATATTACCATTAGAGGAAATATTTGATTTTTATAAATTTAACCAAGAGGACTATATATATAATCAAAAGAAGAATTTAAAAAATCCTACTAAGCATTTTACTCTTCCATTGCTCTACCTCTTCAGCTCACTCTCTCTACCCCGAGCACACACAGATGCATGGACAGAGAAGCCTCATAGCATGATTATGCTTACATCTCAAACCACGGGTATAAACAATCTTGGAGCTGAAGGAAAATATTGTCTTTCATTTTAAACTGAAAAGTAAGTAGAACTGTTTTCTTAGAGAGGAACACTTAAGCTGATTAATCAATGCTAACTGGCAACAGGCATCAACAAAATTTGGGAAAGGTTTTGTTTCGTGATGTTTCAGATGAGGCCAGTTTCTTGTCTGAGGCTATATCATTTCTAGAGATTTATATTGTGTGTGTTTGGAGTGGTGGGGAGGACGAGGACCCAGGGAAAGTAATGTAAAGGACGTCTGGAAGGCTCAGAACTCAAAATAAACCATTTTGTTTGCTGTAACTCTAGGCACTGTTTTTATATTTCTTAAAATGTTTACATTGATTATGTTCCGCTCATTTTCTAGCTATAATCAAATGTGGCTACAGAGTTACAAATCAGTAATTTACTCAAGGCCATTGTGATACAGCAGTACATGATTCTCAGTCCTACAGACTCCTGAAAATGAAATGTCTATTAATAACCAAGAGGGATAGAGAAATTAATATACCGACAGGAAAAAATAACACCTTCATCAAGCATTGTGCATCATGTAATATGTTTGGCATCTTCAGAGCAAATAAAACCTAGTGATGCAAGAGAACTTCACAAGTTTCTGATGTCAACAAGGATTACATTTCTAGTTGTTTACAAGGTAAGAAGACCTCGTACATCAGACTTGATGACAATTTTCCCTTCCTAAGCTAAGGGCGATCAGTGGCATAAATAAATACTTGATACACAATTGTCCTTTCCTTTCTCAGAGTCTATGCTTAGAGCATGAATAGGGAACATGCCCCCTCCAGCTGTTGTTGAACTTCAAATCCCACAGTCCCTCACTCCTAGCTATACTGGGAGGGCTGATGGGAGTTGTAGTCCAACAGCATCTGGAGGGACATAAGCTGTCCACAACTGCCTTTGGCTATAAAACAGGCATGGGAACCTTCAAACTCTGGGAGTGGTGGAGGCCAGAGACTCAAGTCGGCCAGAGACTCAAGTCTGAACACCCAGCTACTCTGTCAACTTCAGGAGATGAAAAGGCAAAGAGTGTTGGCACCAATTGAGGCTTTCCCCTTTTTATTAGCCTCTGTGGGGATGAGAGTGGGAAGTTTAGCAGGGAAAGTACGTTGATAGGATGATTTATACCCACCCCCCAACAGACACACACACACATCTGTGTATGGTGATCCTGATTTGGATGGGGGCTCCATGTGCTTATTTCAAATTTAATAAAGGGGGGGGTCAACTGAGCATTCTGTATTTAATTTAGCATCTCATTGATTCTTAAACAATCTAACACAGGGGTCTCAAACTCAACTAACCTGGGGGCCGCTGGAAGTAGAGTCTGGATGAGGCTGGGCCGCATCAAGTATTCACCACGGTGGTGGTGGGCCACTCATCCCGCATCGCTCCAGGAGGCCGGCCCAGGCACCGCTGGCACTTTGAAGGCCGCAGGACCCCTCCCCATGCCCCGCCCGTCCCGGCGCGCAGCTTAGAGGGAACATTGCGCCCAGGGTAACGACTCACGCAGGTGCGTATGAGAAAAACGCGCGGGCCGCACTATCACTAAACTTTGATATCAAGTGGGGGCCACAAAATATCGTCCCATGGGCCGCAATTGGCCTGCGGGCCGCGAGTCTGAGACCCCTGATCTAACAGTTAAACTACAAGAACTGAATCTGAAGTTATGTAGTCAGGCACAACATGCGGTTAAAGCAAAACTCTTGACTTCTAAATGCTGCCACAAGCATCCCCATAAAGATCCCCTGAGTGTGTTACACAAAGCACAGAGATAAACAGCGCCAGGAAAAGAACGGTATGGCAATAAGCACACTGCACTTCCCCTGACACAGGTCAGTCCTAGGTCAGAACTACTTCCTGAGCTGCCTTGATTAGGATACTTGAAAGAACCCGCATGAATGCACACCCAGCATTTTGCTGTCAGAGGGCAGAATGCAAATTACTGTAATCTACTCTGAGACAGACTGTTTCAAATGGCCCTCTAATAGGATTTCTTATCTGCAACAATGCTGGGTTCCTAATACACTAACACACAGGAAAACTATGTGAAACTGGCCCGCATTTTAAGAGGCAGTATCGCCTCAAACAGATGTACTTTTGTTTCCTTCTGCAGTTAAGATGGGAGTCCTCAGTGTAGCACACATGGGTTCGATGGTGCCCCGAGGCACCTCCAAGGACACCCATCAAAGGGACAGCCCTTGTGGTACCCACAAAAAGTTTTGTTTTCCCCTCTTACATATCCATACCAATCAGTTCATATATATTGCGTGCAACTTTCTAGTAGTTATACACAGGTTTCAGCAAAGGTGGACCAACTATCCAGATAAGCAAGTATAAAAAAAAACCCCTGTTGCAGTACAAAACGTATCTGTACAATAACAAAAGAGTTAACTACTGCACAGTACCAACACATATTAGCTGTATTGTACTGCCAGCAATTAGCAGAATTAGATCCCTTATTAAAGAGACACTGCAGTGTCCAATAGACATAAACATTTCTGCTAAATAAGGTACAACAGATAGACACCAAGCTAGTGATCTGCTAATCAGGCATTTTGTGGCATTCTCAATCCTAGCAAGGGAGTTCTGCAACGGAAACTCCATTTCATCTTTGATTCCCTGGGATGCTATTCATATTGACTCTTAGTCCCTTGGTCAATGGCTAGGAAAGCTGATGGATTTAACACCCAGAGATGTTCCAAGTGGGTGCTACTCCACTAGTCTTTTTAGTGGCCATTGCTGCTAGTGCATGGTGATGGGTGCACCCTTATGTTAGAAGTGTTGGCCAAGACCACTACCAGTTTATTATAAGGTATTCTTGCTGCATCATGGTTCCCATACCTCATCAACATGACCAACGGCTCCATAGATCTTTGCTGTTTGTCCAATCAGATTTGGGAAACTCTCTCCAATCTCCTTCAGTAGAGGAAGTAAGTTGGCTAATACTTCTGGTTCATAGTCTGCTATTTCTATCAGTATTTCAAGGATGATATCATTATGATGGGGATCTCTTAGGTGACCAATCAGAGAGGGAATACATTCTTTGAGTACCTGCAAAATAGAAAGGGAAGAAGTACAAATCTATTTTTTGTAAAAATTCTCTGCTTGTCATTATCTGTATTTTGAATTTTCAAAGAAATCAGTGCTAATGCACTTTGCATAAGGCATATGCATAGACTACTGGCTGAGAATATACATTCATAGATTTAGCATTTCATAATTAAGAACAAAAATTCTACACTATTCTCAAATTTCTCCCCTTAGATTCGTATGACATTTATTGAAAGAACAGGAATTTAAATTAAGGTATCTGAAAACAGAGTAAATGAAAGAACAACAGAAATCCCTGCTGTCCCCTAGGAATCCTTAAAATCTTAGGTCTGTTGCCTAAAGCAAAGAATGAAATAACAGAGCCACATTCTCAGGTGGTTTAAGTCAGTGTCAGTCCATATGTTGCAATGAAAGGATGCATATTTATAGCAACTAGGAAACAGACCCTTGTCAATATGAGACATAAGCAGCACATCACTGGAACACGGATCACAAGACAACACACAGTTGAAATAAAGCATAGCACCATCTTTCCAATGGGCTGAGGAATGCCATAAGCATTGTGTTATATAGATTTTTATATAGGAGCTCTGCAAAATAATGGCTTCGATGCTCAAAGTAGTAATTTGCATCAATGTATAACAGCATGACCTGGATATTACAATAAACTAAGCACTGAAAATCTGAGTTAGTGATGCAAAGATCAGGCCAGAATCCAGCTCTCCTGTGCTCACAGACTTTTCCTGTACTTGGTCCTGACCAGGGAATAAGCCAAGTACAGATCAAGTCTGCAAATGCTCTGGGACACTAACAGCTTACTTGCACTAAGTACACAAAGTACATACTCTCTGCATAAAGTGCACAAAGCCTGCACAACAGGACTCTGCTTGCACTGTGGGCACGTGTGTGCAAGCCAGCCTTGTGGATTCACTTGGACCCACTTCCGCCAGATGCCCATGTGAATATTTGAGGTGAAGTGAGTTGGGGCAGAGAGAAAGCTTCCAGTAGCCTGAAGTGTCTGATTCTGCCTAATCTTGGAAGCTCAGCAAGGTCAGGTCTGGTTGAAATCTGTTGTGAACTGCCCAGGGAGCTTTGGCTACAGGCAGAATAGAAATGATGATGATGATGATGATGATGCAGGCCAGAAGTTTGGGGAGCCAGGCTCAGAAAATCTGTTGGATTCCCACTCCCAAACCAGATTGCTCACGCACTGCTGTTCTGAGCTGTTGAGTTCCAGAGTTCCTGGTTTATTTCTTTCATCCAAAAGTCTAGAATGGGGCATTCCTTGGATAACAAAACAGGATGCAAAGTGGAAGTGGGAAGTAGGGAAAATCTTGCCTAAGATAATTTTTCACTGATTGAAATAACAAATAAAGAATGGTAAAATATGATTAATAAATTTTGTAATGGAGATGAAAAAGTGAGGATAAGTTTAAAAATATGGTACAGATAACAAAAGATTGGGGAACTAGGTATTCCTAATGTAAAGTTGTACTATAAAGCAAATAAAGTGATATTATATTCACAACCCAATAAAGTAAAATGGTTAAAATTAGACTTTTCTCAACTAGAAGGATCCTTGACAGATTTTTTTTTCCAATATGGCAACAAAAATATTATAAAAACATAAAAAATCCAAAATACATTGCAAACTCACAATTGAGAAAAAAGTGCATGCCATCAATCTCACCATTATAGGTATACTGAATTAGAAGAGTTTCCATCATATTTGAGAGAAAGTTTGGGAAAAAATAATGGACAAGTTTTAAAGTTAAAAGATTGGTTAGAGAAAATGAACAAAAATTTAAAGATGAGAGCAATATAAGGAAAGGAAAGGAAAGGAAAGGAAAGGAAAAATAACTTGGCTTAATGTGATTCTATTATAATGCTGGGCTAGAGATTGGTTAAAGAGGTAGATGTAGAGATTATACCAAATTTGAAGATATGATTTTGGAAAAGGAAAAAACAAAATAATATACAGATGAAAGGGATGGTAAGTAAAATTTATAAGGTATTCTCAGAAGATCAGGATCACTATGATCTACTTAAAGCAACATGGGAAACAGTTTTGAGAAAGAATATTACTAATGAAGATTAGGAAAATATCTCGGCTAAGAGGATGCTAAAATGTATGACAGTAAGAGTAAAGGAAAATTTTTATAGATTTGTATGGAAATGATACTTAACCCTGGTGAAGTTGTATCATATATATAGTAAATATTCCATTCTATTTTGGAAATTGCCCATGGCATGGGTACATATTTTCATATGTGGTGGGAATGTGACTATATAATGAAGTTTTAGAAACAGGTTTTTAAAGAAAGTTGTAAAATACTAAGTTCTATGTTCTAAGATCTCATTACTCTCAATATTTGATAAGAAACAATAGAGTTGGAATAATAAAGAATTAAAAACAAATTTAACAACAGCTACAAGACTAATTATAGCTAAGAACCAGAAAGTAAAATATGATTATCAGTTGTGTGATTGGTGTAATGAAGTCTGGAATATAGCTATTAATGATAAATTAACTTGCAATATTAAAATAAGAAAAGAATATATAAAGAAAAATAATTTTAATGAGATTTGGGGAGCATGTATTGTATGTGTGTTAAAAGAAAGGGAAAGGATTTGAACCTTTCCAAGAGTCATTGTAATTTTGGAAGGGGGACATTTCTTGAAAGAATTTTTGAATGAGTTCTCAACATGTATCCAATGGTCCTGGCAAGGGGGTGCATAGCTGTTGGGGTTTTTTTTCCAATGAATTCATTTAATTGTATACTTAATGTTGTATGTCGTTATTTTAATTGTAAATTTTTGAATTGTATTTTATATTGAAAATTAATAAAAAATAGAAAAGGAAGTGGGGAGTTGGTACAAAGCATATGCTTGTTGTTGCACATTCCCAATACACTGCAGTCTGGGCCCATGGGTTGTTATAATGCGCAAACCAAGCCTATATCTAAACATTGTACATTAAACTAGTTCAATGAGACTGTTATACAAACATGTAAATATGTATGTTTGGCTTATATAAGACATTCATACCACAAGAAGTCAATTTTGAACGTTATAGTGGATCCTGTTGTAATTTGGATAAAACAGTGGTTTGAAGAGCAAACTACAGAAATATGCATTATCTAAACAGCTGGAAATCTAAGCTAGGTTAATAAATCCAGATTTGGACATCTATATACAGTGCTACAAATTAGAGAAAAGGGGAAGGCTGAAAAAGGAAGTGGGATGATTAAGCCTAACTTAGTTATGTCTACCTGAAAATGTGTCCCACTTTACAAAATACAGTCCTCTATTTGAAGGCATCCTCTGTTGGAAAAGGAGCCAGCCCAAGTCTGCTTTAAGGTCAAAGGTCTATCAAGAGGTGGAGAAATTGTCCATCAGTTGTTATCATATCTCTTCTCAGTCTTCTCTTCCCAAACCTAAATATGCTCAATCCCGTTCACCTCTGTGCCCTCCTCTGAGCCTTTTCTAGTTTGTCTGAATTTCTTAAACTGCAATGGCCAGAACTGGACGCAGTATTCAAGATGAAGATTAACTTATACTGAGCGGAGGGGGACTAGTACTTCATAGTGATACTTTTAGAAGTGCAGCCTAAAATAGCATGTGTCTCTTTTGCAGCCACATCAAAATGTTGACACATATTCAGCTTGTGAGCTATAACAATTCCAAGATCCTTTTCATTTTTTTTTGTAATGTTGAACTAATTATTTCCCATCTTATAAATATACACATGGTTTCTTTTTCCTGGGTGCAGAACTTGGCATTTTTTGCTATTAAATTTGTTGATTGTGGCCCAGTGCTCAAACTTATCAAGATGACTTTGATCCTCCCCCCCTCCATCTTCCTGGGTAGGGTTGCTATCCCACCCAATCTGTGACAGCCGCAAACACAATAAGCATTCCTTGCACTGCCTCATCCATATCATTAATAAAAATGTTACCCAACTCCTTACTTCCATCTGTCTACATTGGTTCTATAGTTGTTTTGATTAGGTGACCCTTGTTTTATTCATATTTTAACATTTGTTAATTGTGCTGCTGTGAACATGTTTTAATGGCTTTATCTCTAGGTTATGGTATATATTGTATTCATTTTATTTGTACATACAATTCATAATTGTATATTGTCGTATGACTTGTAATGGATTTTAAAAATGAGAGCCTCCCAGAGAGCCTACAGCTATTGGAGTGGCATACAGATCGAATAAATAACATAAATACGCTTATCACTCTTTTGATCTTGTAGCTCTTAATTCCCGCTCTCTCCCTCCCTTCTGCCTCTCGATTTTGCCAATCTGTTTCCAAGGAGGGCAAATGTGTTAGTCATCTTCTGGGCAAGTTTCATTTTGAATACTTGCTTTAGCTGCAGGATATTCACTTTAATAGTAGTTCTGGACTCCTCTCCTGGGAGTAAGTGTATTTTGGGCACCATATTTAGCTGACCTCTGGTTGAGTCTTCATAATTAGCTCATTCCAGGGTTTCACAAATTTTAACGAAAGTCTGCTGACTTCTGATTCTTTTACTGGGATTCCTGAGGTGGGGGTTCTTTTTCTGGGTCGAAGTGGAGCCAGGAGTTCATGCCACCATTGTTCATAAAAATATTGTTTTATGGCTGATGGGAAATTTGAATCCAATTCTGTCCTGCCTGTCCAAGTCCAGCTCCTTATCTGCTATATCATACTGAATCTTGACACTGCACATTGCTAACTTTTTGTTTTAAAAAGCTGTTTTTGTGCTGTCAAATCTCATTTTCACAGAGCAAGTCCCAAAGAGCCCCAATAGTATAGCAAACAGACATTAACAAGAGAATGGGAATTATGCTGAAAAGGTGTCATATGACCTAGCTCCAAACAAAGGCTGAAATGGGCTTCATCAGACTAGAAAATTTTGTTTATTGAAGGAGTTATATTTCCTCTGAAACTATATATTTTGAAAAGGTTCCCTTGACTGTACTGTGAAGTGGATATTAAATTTCTGAGTGAATTTTTTAAAAGACTGCTGAAATTCATGCTTTATAAATTAGGCATCCTTGTACCTTGTTGTAATGCCCTATACCTCATAAATACCCTGCTTTTGTAACTGGGTGAACCGTACACAAAATACAAAAAGTTTTTACAGCATTCCTTATTTATTATTTTGGTCACAGATATACTAGCCATTATTTTCTGTGATGTAGCTTTAAAATCTATTGAAGCCCTTAAAGACCCTTTATTTTTACAGATGAAAATGTAATAAACACACACATGGGGGGATATTATGACAAGCCAGGGCTCCTCTAGAAACCTAGGTTATTATTTGCAAGCAGAGTGCTCATAAATATTCCGGTTCATGAGGAGCTGAGCAACTGTGGGTTATTTCTACAGCTTCCTCAAACTGGAAGACCAAGGAGTGATTTATTGTTATCTACCTGACAAGTAGTAATAGATCTTAGTTTATGTCTAACTTAGCAAAATGGATGTTTTAGGTATACGGGATGCCACAACCATTTTTGATAATGTTTTAATTAAGATGGCCAATCTTCCCGCATTCATTTTTTCTAGCAACGCCTAATGACTGCTTTCTCTTGAGAGAAGATAATAATTCAAATAAATTTTGTGATGGAAAGTTCTTCCATAATTAATGCTCTACATATTCTTCTTATCTCATGGAATTCAATACAAGACAAACACAAATGGATTTTCTACAACTTCATGACAGCCAAAACGCTAATACTACAATCCTAGATGGGTACACAGTCACCTGTGATAACACAATGGATGGAGGACTTAATGAAGCTTTCAGTTTTTGAACAGGTGGTCTTTAGATGTCGTTTACAAATGAACATGGATATTTGGGCTGCCTTTGCTGAAGGCAGCAGTAAGCATTCTGACAGAGAACATTTAGGGACTGCAGGTGGCACAGTGGTTTAAACCACTGTGCTGCTGGGCCGGTTGATTGAAAGGTTGCCGGTTCGAATCTGCACAATGGGGTGAGTTCCCGTTGCTCCGTCCCAGTTCCTGCCAACCTTGTAGTTCGAAAGCATGCAAATGCAAGTAGATAAAAAGGTACTACTTCAGTGGGCAGGTAACAGCGTTCCGTGCACTTCGGTGTTTAGTCATGCCGGCCACATGACCACGGAGACTGTCTGTGGACAAACGCTGGCTCCCTCGGCTAGGAAACAGAGATGAGAACCGCCCCCTAGAGTCAGGCATGACTGGACTTAACGTCAAGGGGAAACCTTTACCTTTATCCTTGTGTAGTGTGGGTAACAAAAAAGTAGGATCATGCCATTGATCTTAGGCTTCCATGGCCCTGATTCTTCAAGGCAAATTTGTCCATCTCATGAAGGGAAGGAGCCCTGCCCTCTACTGTTTATATTACAATGCAATCCAATATTCATCCTATTATTCACACAATAGCTTCCAAAGCTTAAGCTGACCAGCATTTCAGCCAATTTCCCACTTGGTCTTCTGTACTGTTTGAGTTCCTATCACAGACAAATAGTGGATGCCATATTTTCATAAAATCATCTTGTTTTATTGAGGAACATCTCTGAAATGGAATTTGGTCCAAGGGCTGTGCCGTATTCTCATCATGCCCTCCTGCATTAGAGAGAGGGCATATGAAAGGCTACATGAACACTTGAAGTATGCCAGGACTTACTAAGTTTGAGAGTGTATTAACATAAAATGTCCGGCATGCTAAATTAGCCCAAATGCTAATTCTCTTTTCTCCTTCTCTGTGCCTAATCTCTGAACTGTTCTTGAACTCAGCAAAGTGTAACGAAATATTTAAGGGTGAAGGGGCACCTTTTGAAAAGCTAACCATAGGCACTGCATTAGATTGATTTTAGTTTGAAAAGTTTATATTGTTAGCTATTTATCAACGGAACAAGGTGACAAACAAACCCAGATCAATAATATTTAAAACTTAAAAGTCTGAATAAATAGACAACAGTAGCAATAAAGTAGTAAAAACAGCAGTTCAGTGGTTCAAAAGATCTTTAAAAACACTCAAGGACTTTAAAAAGAAACCAAATGTCTCTTAGTTATGGTTTTATGTACTAAAAGAATGCCTAAAAGAATAAAGTATTGGGTAAGGCCTGATGAATCTCTGTAGGGTGCAACAACCAAGAAGGCTCTTCTTAGCTGCCCACCTAGCTTCAAGGATGTGAAGTAGCCCAAGATGACAATCGAAACAGGGAGAAATATATGGAAAAAGGTGATTGTAAAGGGATCCAACCCCCAGTTGCTTAGGGCTTACTACCAACACATTGCATTGAAGCTGGAAACAAACCAAAATCATTGTGTCATGATAAAGAGAAGTGCTCTAGCTTCCCCCAGGTACTTAAGTCACTTCCCCATTATTTTGAGCCAAGTGCATGCTTTTCATGGGCAAACTTTTGCAGAGTACACTGCAACTGTCAGATCTCAGAGTCACTGAGGCATGAATCATTGTGAGAAGATCTGCCTTTGCCCGGAACAGTCATAGCTAGTGAAGAAGCCAAAGCTGAATAAAGGAGTTCCTTATAACCAACACCTGCACATTTAGCAAGAGTGGCAGACTGAGGAATATCCCCCAAACAATGAATCCCTCTTTCAGAAGGAATGAAACCACATACAGAATAGGTTGCATACCTAATTCTGAGTTAATACTTCTGTTTTGTCAGGATTTGGTTTCATGTGGTTTTTTCCATCTAGCTTCCAGTAAGCAATGCTTCTATGCCCTCCCCCAGATAGATTAACATGACAGACAGTGTGTGCATCACTCACACAACAAGAACACTGAGAGCCAGTGTGGTGTAGTGGTTAAGAGCATGGGACTGGGACTCAGAGGGTCTGGGTTCTAGTCCCCGCTCAGCCATGGAGCCAACTGGGTGACTTTGGACCAGTCACAGACTCTCAGCCCAACATACCTCACAGGATTGTTGTTGTGGGGACAAGATGGAGGAAGAGAATGATGTAAGCTGCCTTGAGCCCTTTGTAGGAAAAAGGCAGGATATTAATCGAAAAATAAAAAATAAAAAAATAAACAATGGCTCCACAGCCCATATCCCTCAATGACTGCACCCAACAATTTAATGTAGATATTAGGTACCAGGGCGGGGGGGGGGGGGTGGACAAGATGGTCCCCTATATAGTCACACAGGCCATTAATTAAAGGGAATGCTTCTATTAAGGAGGCCCTCTCTCCCTGGAATCAGTGGAGCCTGTTCTTTACAGCACTACCAATCCCATTCTGTTGACAACATCCCGGAAAGCCATAACGATCAATGGTATCAAATCCTCCTGACAATCCAGGGAACCGACAGCACATCAACTGGGGCAATCAATGCAGTTAGAGGTAAGAATGTATCTGAACATGCATCAAAACTACCGATACCTTTGACCTCTGAATGTGTGAGAGTTTAAAACAGGGTAAGGATCTGTGGCTGGCTGTGATGAACACTAAGGTCTGAAAGGGTGATCTACTCATGTTCATGTGAACTTTAACAGAACTCTCCTTACAACCAGAGATGCGGCTTGATCATATACTGATTGCGCAGAGAGTTCTACTCATGTTCAGGAGAATCGAAGTAGAATGCCCTTTAAGACTTCGATGCTCAATGAAGGGAGGCTGGTGACTGAGGGCTGCTGCACAGGAGCGCATGGCCGGGGCACCACAGGGCTGGTATGCCTGTCATCATACACCAGGGTTGCACCACCAGTGTCCTGTGGGCCGCCTGCACCTCCTGAAAACCTTTACTGCAGCCCAACTATCTGCGCTCCCTCCTGAATCCCCAAGTGGTTTATTTCCCAGACCTCCTGATCTAGCCCAGTCTTGCCACTGTTGCTGCGAAGCTCTGAAAAGGCACACTAGCAGTGCTCTCCAAGGGTTCTTTGCTTGCAGCCTGCTTAGGGCAGAAGTCAGAACATCCTTTCGCAGATCCTCTGGCAGCCATGTTTTCCATAATGCCATGTTTTCCATAAAAGTTGGACACTGAGAGAGGGGTGTGTGTGTGTGTGTGTGTGTGTGAAAGAGAGAAAGAGTGGGGGCTGCAAGCCTATTTGCTTATCCTTGCACATGCTCTCTCGGAGCTCTGGACACTCCCTCTTCAGGCATGTGACCCCCAGTAGGTCACCCAGCACCCAATGAAGCCTGACCTGGAAAATTGGGTGACCCCCTGCACTATGCCACTTAAATCCTCCTGCATTCAGACAAGTGCATAAACAGCATATGAAATTAAAGAGTGCTACCTTTGGCTGTTTTTTCTTTGCAACTGTTAGCAGAAGCCTTAAGAGGTGATGCTGTTCTGCTTGTTCCAGGTGAGACATTGGTGCTACTAGTTCTCTCAAGCGGTTGTTAATTGGCTGCATTTGCTTTTCATACAGAGAGGGAAGCACACGCAGCAGCATGGAATTGCCTGTTAAGAAAATGGGAATAATAAAAAGTAGGCTGCAGTATTTACCTGAACATCATCTTTCTCTTTGGAACATTCAAGCTGAAAACATAAAGCAATACAAATCAGGATCTTATTACCCATCAGTTCTGGGAACTAACATTTGTGCTGAAACATATGAGACAAGAAAAGAATATATACTGCACCAAGAAATCAAAACATTTTCTAATGTGGAATGCAACTAAGTGAGGCAACATGGCTTGTGTATAAAGAAAAGCAGCTTGAATTTTCAAAAATTTGGATATTTAATTGAGCACTAAACCACACTGCAAGAATGACTGTTAATGAGCATGGAAAGGAAGACCAGTCATTGCATTTTAACTACCTTGGATTTACAAAACCTGTCTTAAATAGAAATCTGGAAACAATACTTGGATTTCAAAAGTATATAATTAGCATAAAGGTAAATTGAAATACAACTAGTTAGGATGCAATTTCAGGGGAATGGGGAACTGGTCAAGCATGGAAAATGAAAGATAACAACCAGGACAAAATGTTCTCACACACTTTTGAGAGTGTTTGAAGATGTGCGTGCACAATTTAATTTGAAGCCAGGCCTCACAGAAAAATCTATAACATGAAACATTGTACAAGCCAGTCCTAGAGTGATTGAAGTTTCATGCTGACAACATATGGAAAACATCTGACTATCACTATACTACATGGTTTCACTCTCTAAATCTTCTAAAACATGTTGAAAGCCTCTATGGATTCACTTTCCAGCAAAAAAAAAAAAAAAAAAGAAGTGCATTCTGGCCTGCTATACTTGCTTTCATTTTAATTCATTCATTTATTGTCTGAACATGGAAGCCAACCAGGTCACTCAGTTGCATGATAGCAAAGCTTCAAGCTGCTTAGTGAAAATATAACCTACATCCTGCCTCCCAGCAATCAGCATCTGGAACGCCATATATATATGGTTCAGCGCTTCCAAAACGAATTCAAAGTCTGCTTGCATCAGCACAGAACAAAACTCGGGTTATTTTCAATAAAATGCCCACCTTTATGCTTGCTGTCATTTTTACCTAATAAAATCTTTTCCACAAGAAATCCTTAAACTGACTATTTACTACCCTGCATTGTGCATCTTTGATATTAATGTCCCATTCTGATAATATATATTCTCAGTTTTTTTCCTGGTATACATTCTGGAACTCATTGACAATTGGATTAAGGCTACAGATCTGGGAACCCTGGCAGAAATGTCCATTTTTCATTAAAGTGATACTAACTTGATCATTTTATTCCATACACTATTTTGAGAGGCATCCTGAAAAATAGTACTTTCTCCTTCACTCTTGCAGGGGTGCCTCTCAGTTACAAGATTTATCTGGCAAGCCAAGAATATGTTTAGTGCCTTGTGGCACCCAAGCAAGCAGGTTCAAGCAGCAGATTTGTTCCTCATTGCTTTTGTTTCTTTCCATACAATCTACAGCATTTATAATCATCCTCAATAAGGTTCCAGTACATGTATTTATCTCATATTTAGTAGACCCAGAGTTACTAATTCACCTGGACTATACCTATTATAGTAGTTAATAAATGATCAGTCTCTCACTGTTATCAGTCTTGCCCTTACCTTGCTCTTTGTGCATGAAACACAATACAGCAGCTCTGGTGCCAAGAACATAAATTTAGAAATATCTTCCTTCCTTTTTAATAATAAGGAAGGACGTCCAACTAGGAAAGGTGCATTGATGCTAGATTCCTCTATGGGGAATGGCATTTGGCAGCTAATAATACTCTTAAAGTTGTACCTTCTCACAAGACTCTGATACTGCATATCCATTCGATTATTTCAATTAAATACCATATACTTTGGAGGATATTTAAATGCTGCCTCCATAGTCAAGAGAAAATAATATGCTTCTAAATATCAGTTGCTGTGGGGATGAATACTGGGCAGCAGTCACTGCTCTGTGGGTTTTCCAGAAGAATCTGGCTGGCTACTGTTGGAAACAGGATTTTGGACTAGCTAAATCTTTAATCTGATCCAGAAGGCCTTCCTAATTGTCATTTAAATGTCTCACACATGACACACTACATCTGCACATTTTCAGATGTTATAGACCAAACTGTATATTTTGCATCAGTTTGAAAACACTTAATATGCTATTCATTTTTATTTAAGGATGTTATAAGGCATCTTGGAATAAAACCAAACACGTTGAAATGAATCACGCATTAAACACATTTCTGTCAAGCAATCCTATAAACGATCCTAAGTAGCAACCCCTCACCCTTGTCTTCTTCCAAGATGGATGTGTCCCTCACAATGGAATGAAATGGCATCACCAACTCTGTAGTTTAGGAATGTTTGAGGCAGCAAGAGACCGGGAAAGACTGACTCATAGATCTGATGGCTATCAAGTCTGTTCTTGCACCACACTGCTGACATTGACCTGGGCCAGAGACAGGATGCTTCTGATGAAGAAAGATGGAGCCCTGGCCAGACAGTGGAGCTAAGCATTCCTATATATTAGTCTTTGATGGAGGATCTCCACACCTCTGCCTGCCAAGCCTCTTCCAGCAAGTCCATCCGTTCTTGAAACATCCAAATAAGGTATCTTTAAGTCTTCTCTGTAGTACAGAGGGACACCTGGGACTAGAGACCTGACATTATCGTTATTCACCCATGTTTGTTAAGCCTCCATAGCGATTTAGAACTAGTGATGTATTTCATATTTTCTACTGATAGAAAAAAAGTGAGCATCAGCCTGGGATTTCCAGTTCCACTTCTTATACAGCATGTGAACAGATGTTCATTCTTAAATCCAGAGGTGCCTTTTCATATGAAGCTCAGAAAACTGATGGGTTCTTGTGAATTAAAAGGTGTGAGGTAAAAGTTAGCTAACAGGTCATTCCACAGAGAAAAATATTTGGCTGATGAGTTATGAGCAGAAAACGGAAGCATCTCCTGCCTGCCAGTCTATCCTTTGCACAGTTGCTGTTGACGGCACTACATAAAAGTTACTTTCCTATGAACACCTTTTACCCTGTTGTTGGCTCAGCATACTACCACCGCTGGCTTTCAGTTTCACACCCTGTGTGTTCTGGCAAGATGATGCTCTCAGTAATGGTAAAGATTTTTGCAAAGCAGTCACCTGGATAACATTCTTGAAATATGACAACATGAGAGAACTATGAAAACATAATTAAAAAGCAAGCTAGTCCCAAACATTGCAGACAGCTGCTACATCTTTTGGAACCAATGACCCTTTTATGTCATATGTAGGAGCCACACGATTCAAGTGCTGCAGGACTGTGTCATGGGCCCCAAAAGAAATTGCACACACCCCTGATCTCCAAACTGTATTGTACAAACTCCTGTGTTCAGTAGAAGTCCAGAGAGAGATCTTGCTATGCTTATGCAGGCTGCCCTTAACAATGGGCAGCCCTGCTTCATGTTTTCTTCCTCAGAAATGCACATCGAAACAGGGTTTGTTTTAGGTTTAGGCTCTTCAAAATGGATAGGAGCTGCATGTATTTTCCTTTCACTGCACTTTCCTAGAAACTTTCCGTCTCAGTAGAAATAATCTATCTTGAGACAATTCATGTATGTTATATTCTTAGCAAAGTTGCTGGTCTGTGACTATAATCAAGAATCTGAATATTCTTAGCAAAATCCACTCTGTTGTTGTTGCTAGTTGCAAAGTTGTGTCCAACGCATCGCAATCCCATGGACAACATTCCTCCAGGCCTTCCTGTCCAGTCTACTGGAAGTCAACTTTTACCCCATTTGCAACCTATGTAAAATGTATGGGATGTAAAAAGGAGGAGTTTTTCTTGCCACCAACCTGATAAAAAAGGCCTTTCTGCAGCCATTATTTTGATTTCAAAGAAAACGGCCAGGCTTGCTCCAATCTCCACAAAGCAGAACTTTCAGCAGTTTCAACTGATGGGTGAAAGCCATCCCATCCCATTCATTGGGGTAAAATGGAGTGCCAGATGAAAGATATACCTATAAAAGGATGGAGCGATGGGGGAGCCATTTCAGTTTGGGTTGGGGAGTACATAGAGTACTTCCATGGCTACTTCGTAGAACATTTCTTTCGAAGGTAAAAGCTGCTGCACTGAGGGGTGAGGAAATATGGCTCCCACTGGGCACTATCAAAATGGGGCTGAAGAAAACCTGGAAAAGATGCAACATATTCCTATTGTGCTGTTGTCTTGATCATTGTGCAGGAAAAAGACGGCAGCTCCTTAGTGGAAGCAGCCCTCTTTCCAAGAGAGCCAGCGTGGTTAGAGCAACGGACTAGGATTCAGGAGGCTTGGGTCCTATTCTCCACTTGGTTATGAAGCTCCTGGTGTGACTTTGGGATAGTCACGGGCTCCCAGCCAAGCCTCATTCACAGGGTTGTTGTGAGGATAAAATGGAGAGGAGGAAAACCACTGAAATCACCATATGTTCCTTGCAAGAGGAAATATGTAGACTAGAGATGTGATAACAACAATGCCCCTATGCCATGATGTAATTTTTTTCTCATTCGGCCCTCCTGCTACTAACAAAGAATGCTGCCCACTTGGTGGTTATTGCCATTGTGTCGCCAGCTAAAGCAAACCTGTTCTTTCTGAAAACAGCCCTCCTGCCACCATGCCTACTCTCATAAGCAGCACTCACATCGGAATTTCTCAAAGCTCCTGTACCCACCATCTCCAGGAAAAAAAACGGCCTCCCAGCATTTTTGTTCCAGCAGTTGCATCAATGCCGGACAGACAGATCTCTGCTTTAAATACTCAGGACTGATCAAAGCTGGGCGTGACAGGAGTTACATAGCTATTATTCAAAATCATTAATTCCATGTCTTCTTGTACCCTTTCTGCTTCTAGAGATGTTTAGTAACATGACAACACTACACAGTGATTTTTCCCTTCATTTTATTGGCCATTGCTCATAGCGTTGGTAAAATTTCAGCGCATTGGCATTGTAACACATATGTTGTTTTCTTTAAATATTATTGGGTGAGAAGTAAGAGTTAGACTTGGGGTAACCATACAAGTCTTCTCACATCTAGCTCCAGCTTTAGAACTATAGGTAGTAATTGAAGAGGAAATAAATTCCTGTTTGGTCTTTGTACTCTGATTCTTTCTGGAATACCCTGATTCTCAAAGAACATGCAGAAAAAATATTTAAGTACACTGCACTAGTACACGTGGATATAGTCCAGATGACTAAATATCAGTTAAAGCAAGCTATTATAAGTTATTCCCACTCTTTAATCACCTTTCTGTTTACCCATGAAATGTTCAACTGGAAGAAACATTAACTTTAATCATACATTTTAATCTCTGTTCTTCACATTCTTATTTAACCAGGCATGAAGGGAGTGCCCTTCAGCAAGTCAAGCCTCTGTGCCCCATCTGTAAAATGGGAAGGGTTGTTTTCTTGCAAAATTGCAATGCTCTATAGGACTACATACAGAGAGACAGACACACAGACAGACAGACACACAGACACACACACTTTACTGTAATGCACTATCTGGTAGGGTTCTTATGCATGTAGAAAGAGCTACCATTCTGAACAAAGAACCAGTTTCCATGCCCAGAGACTGGTTTTGTTGGGAAGATCTCCTGCAGAGCTGATATCAGCACACCAAAAAAGATACTGCATGGCAACAGGGGGTGGGGATATGTCCAACATCTGGCACATTGTAAGCCACCAACCTCTCCAGACCCCCTCCACATAAGCACCTCGCAATTTGCTGGTCAGCTGATTACTAGTCTAAGTGGTTGGAAAATATGCCCCACGGGTGATATTTGCATATTTTCCTCCCCTTTTAGTCCTGAGGAAAAGGAGAACCTTTGCAAACCTATAAAACAACCTGGCAAAGTAATTAGCAGCCATAATGACATATAATGGTATAAAACATCACATTTTTCTAAACAAGAACATTCTGTTGGGGAAACGACATGTTAATACAACAAATGTGTTGTGAGTCTGGAACATACTTTGAAATTATACCAGAACAGCTCTTGAAATGCTTCTGTAATTTCAAAAATTCACAATGTATTTCCCTTGCTTTTCATCTTTCAGAACAACGCATGAGAGAGAAAATCTAATCCCAGGGGTGGGGGGGGGATTGCAATTTTGCAAGAACAGTTTTTCCATTGTTTCTCCCTTTACACTCACTAATCCACCCACATTTCAAATGTTTAAGGTTTAGGATTGTGCAAACTCCATGCCTTTCCCTCCTCACATCTCCTATCCAAAAAAAATAATAATAACCAGAAGCACTCCTATTACACAGCACTAGCATTACTCATTCATTCAATTTCAGCACCCTCACAGTATTATTTAAGGGCTTTCTGCGACTCCCTCTCATAGAATCATCTCTGCTCCAGTCTTACTAGAGACCTTTCATTCAGGAAGACACTGAGACTTTTAAGGAGGCAGCAGGATAATTCTGTTAAAACATGTTTTCCTTTGTGATCCTATTTTTTGCTCTCTGGTCTTTCTCATCTGCTCAGAACCAGGATGATTATGACGACCTTTTTTTCCTGAATTTTGACAATGAAGTAGAAAGTGTCATTCCTGCAACAGAAGAAAGTAAGTAGGGGTGGGAGTTTTGTCTACTTCTAGTTTTTAGTTACGAGCTAGCTATTTCTGTAACATCAAAAGAAAGAGTATGCAGAGTTCATGTTTCTTATGCTTTCAGTGTCATAATAGCTGCAGCCAGCAAACACAAAAATAGCATTCAGTTTTAAGACTGTCTTTTAACAAGAGTAAAAAAAAAAAAAGACAGGCAGCTCCTTCAGCAATTTCCTCTAGATCCATTAGGGCAAAATACCAACCCTGTTTGAACAAAGCATTGCCCTTCTCTCTCTGGGGGAAAATAGCAGTGCTAGCTTTGGAAAATGCGGAGAATCAGGGGATACATGTTTCTTTAAACACCTTTGCTTAAGGAAATATAATCAAGACCAGAAAAGTAGTGTAACAGCTGTTGTGCATTCTACTCTCTAGCTATTTCATGTGACTGTCAGCGAGAACACACAGAATGGGACAAACTCTTCATTATGCTGGAGAACTCCCAGATGAAAGAGAACATGCTGCTTCAGTCCCTCGATGAAATCCTTAAGGTGGAGCTGCAGACGCTGAGAGGGGAAATGCTCCAGTTTGTGGAAAAGTTTGCTGGCATGTGCAGCACATACATTGAGAATACTACCTCCCATTTCTCAAGCCAAATGGACCAGATGCTGGCAAAGAACAACAGAGAGACTGAGCAGCTTTTGGGGAAGCTTCATGAATCCGCGCAAGGAAAGATTCTTGGAGAGATTCTGCAGCTGAGCCAAAACGTGTCCCACAGACTCGGCCACTTGGAGCACGCTTGGCAGAGGAGAGCCGACGCGGAAGCTCAGCAGAGGGTTTTGTCGCAAAAAGACACAATCAGCTATCCGGCAAGTGGGGATGATTTCATTCTGAAGTCACTGTGGCAAGAGCTACAGGACACAAAAGCAGAGCTGAAAGAATCCCAGAAGAGGACCACACAGCACGGGCTGCCAGTTGGTAAGTTGCATCCTATTGGCAATGTTAGTAAAACTTTTCACCTCCCTTCCTATACGCACACACATCAAACAACTCTGCTAAAATGCCTCATCCAATGCCTTGATTATAAAATGGAAAGTGTCACTGACACTTGAGAAAGTCCATACTGTGTGGGAGCAGACTGCCTTTAATGGATGCTTATACAGTAGGAGAGCCAAAGAACTTGAACACACAGCAGAAAAAAATCTACATTATGTACAACTTCCATTAAGGTAGTATGACTAGGATTATATTAGATGGTACTGAAGGCAACACCAGTGCCTGTCTGGATAACAAAAAGACTCCTAAGCTGATCCACAAGCAAAGTTAATGTATTTGCAAGGCCCTAATGTCTTTGTGCACGCTAGTTCACAGCTGCAGACTTCCTTCCTTAAAGGTACTTTGTAAAAACAGTAACAGCAGCAAGAATTCACTAAAACTATTCTGTTCCATGTGCAGCCCTTTCTTTTCTTCCTCTCGCTGAATAACCTGCTGCCTCCTGCACAGCATTCCTCAGAGGCTACTTCTGAACAAAATTTGACCTTGTGAGCTCATTGATTATGTCAACAGGCTATTCATCAATTCTCATGCTTCAGGGCATAAATAGATTCTCCACAGGGGCTCAGGAAGGCGGACTAGCTTTCACCTCTTGCTGTTCAGCTGCATAGTGATACCTTACAAAGTTTTCCCTCCAACCTTCCTTTGAAATACCAGACCATTCAAGTCCTTTGTATCTAACGACTATCAGCCTCCCATATGTATGTCATGAATCATGTTAAGATAAATAAAATAGCTGTTTACATGGAACAGCTTTCAAAATTATTCCCATCTGGATGTACAGACCATCTAGGACCTTTTGGAGCTGCTATATGTGACACTGAACTCAACTAAGCCAAGAAGCATTCCATTAAGAAATAGCAAGGTAGTAGAAATATTAGTATAGGAGAGAAAGAATGGCACTGTTCTTTTAGAAATGACCACACAAGGGAGCTATTGCATCAGTTCCGGGGATCCTGCTACCTTTGGCATTAAGGGTCCAAGCATATGGGGTTTTTGGTTGGCATTAGCTATCATATTACCAAGCAACAGCTGCCTGAGAAATCGAAACATACACCTTGCTCTTATTTTGTTGAAATATAGTACAGCTGAGATAAAAACAGATGGTTGAACAACCCATTTGATGTGTTATGCATCAAACACAGAGCACAGAGGTGGCACAGATACTTCTCATGTACATTGATGGGAAACAGCAGTGCAAGAATAGACTTTTTTAGTTCACCAGAGACTTTGTAAGAACTACAATCAACACCTAAAACTGTATCATTGAACATCCTAAATTTCACCAGTGTATAGTCATTTTTAATGTGGTCTCTTCAAAATTGATGGCAATTATTATTTTAATTAAAACAGAATGGGGACCTATATATGCACTATGGTTGGATAAGCAGATGGAGAAAATGCCCTGTGACACAAATAATGAAAGAATGATGGGTACTCATTAATTATCAAGGTATTAGGCCAAATTAAAATCTAGTAGTTAGAAAGGCACTTTTGCAGGTGTAACTCTGTTTTGGAGGACCCTACATCAATTTTTAAAGCCTAAAAAAAGTTTGTGATGCTTGATTATTTTAATAGGCACAGGAGAGAATTACTAGTAACAGTTTGTGTTTTCTTAATTAACCTTCTGCCTTACTGGAAGTGGATGCATCAAATTAATACTTCCATAAAAACTTTAGCACTCATACTCTCAATGTAAATAGGAAACAGTTTATTTGTGCAACATTTTAACTAGATTAATGATCATGAAGGCATGAGGCAGTCAAGTGGAAGTACTTTTAACTCCTCTTGATTTCAATGGAAGAATTATGCCACAATTAAACATACAGCAGCAACTCAGCGATTCATCTTCCCCTTTCTCTTGCAGCATTTAGTAATGCAAAATATCAGATGGGATGCATCATTGTGTTGCAAGTTTCCTAATCCCTGCGCCATTTCATTGGCTGCTGCTAGAGAGATGGGGAAACTCACAATGTAATGATGTCATACATGCTTTGCATTACTAGATATTATAGGGGAGAGAATAGAAAGGGGATGCTGGATTGCTGTTTTCAGCTGCCACCACATGTTGGCTAAAACATGTCATCCAGTCTTTGAATCAACCCACCTGAATTTATAGGACATAAAAATGCTTAGCTTTGACTGGATTATTCTCTGCATCTTTCCCCAACTGAAGTCAGTGTTAAGTTCAGAATAACTCCACTGAATTCATAGGACATTGTCTTAATTTAGCCTAACTAAGGCCAAATTTGGTCCCATATGTTGTAATTTGGTTAAGAACAAGAAGAGTAAATTTTTGAAATACCTTGTAGCTCCCTCTGGAAATCTTTTCAGAAAGAGTTTTCAGCAACTGGTTTTGATTTCTCACATCTCCTGGATTCTTGCCAGATTGCCTCTTAAGGGCTTTTCTGATCACATCGTTGCTGGTACCCTATGAAGCTGGTTTTAATTTCACTTACCCCTTGATAATAAAGTTAGAAAGCCAGCTAATTAAAAAGCCATGTTGCTACACAGAACTCTTTGCTCTCTGAAGAACTATCCCTGCAGAATCATGACCTCATAACCCACTTTTCAGGGGTCAGAAAATGTTTATATACACTTAAAGCTCACAGCATATGAATGCTCCAAAAAGGCAAGATAGAAATACTCTTTAATTATCACACTTGTGATTTCAAGATTTGTTTTAGCTCTTTAGATCTAGGAACAAAGAATGCAATGTCCAGTGATCATGAATATTAGACAACAATAAACCCCAGATAAACTTTCCCCCATAGTGTTATGAGTGTCAGTAGGTCCAAGTTCTTGGAATTTAATATCATATATAAGTGTGTCCATTGTTTACTAGCGCCACTGTAGTGGCCAAGAGAACGGGGCTGCCTGGAGATCTGGTCTCTAGTTCCTGGTCAGCCATGCAGTTCACTGGGTGACTCTGGGCCAGTCACTGACTCTTGGCCCAACCTACCTCACAGGATTGTTGTTGTGAGGGTAAAATTAAGAGGAGGGAGATAAAGTGCCTCGAGTTCCTTGAAAGGAAAAAAATGAGATATGATAATTAATGGTGATAAGCACATATAAATGAGCCATCACAGATTAATCACTAGAGATAGACATTTCACCCAATCTCTGTTCAAAACAAAATATTTTAAAGCAGGCAGAAAGTGTTCCATGGGAAATTGTGATGAGAGATCAAGTTATGGACATACCTTTTTATATATGGCATATGTTACAAGTAAAGCACTTACGTGTAAGCCAATGAAAGTTGTATGGAGATAGGCTGCAATAGAATAGGAATCTATGGGAATCATTTTACTGAAATCATTGGAAGGTAATTATTTGAGAATCTAAGCCCAAAGCTACAAAGCAGTAGAATCCCCAGCATTTGAACTCTTGGTTGCTAATCCTGGACATATTTTGCTTAACACCAAATGCATTACTTACTCATATCCAGTGTGCTGCAGACATTAGAGCAAACTCTTAGCAAAAACACATTTACAGATAACGTGGGTTTCCTTTGCAAAAGGATGCAGCTGCCTAGTCAAGTGCTTGGCACACACACGGGGCAAGATCCTGCGTGCTTATGCCCCTGTAGACTCTTTTGGGCCGGCTAATTCCACTGTGCGAGGGTCTCCACCAGTTGTGCAACAGTGATGCAGTGATTTCTGTGCAGACAGAAGTGACCCTCGAGGGGGTGTTCAGTGAAGCTCATGTAAGGCTGCTCTGCCAATCTGCCTCCTTGCATAAAACCACTGTCCAGCATTCTGTTCACACAGCTGTCAACCAGCCGCCCACAGAAAAATCACAGGCAGGACATGAGTGAAACAGGATTCTCCTACCCATGTTCCCCAGCAATTAGTATACATAGAACTAGTAGCTATACATTGCCTTATCCTCCATGAATTTAGCCAACCCCTTTTATAGCCATCCAAACAGGTGGACATCACTGCATCCTGTGAAGTGAATTCCAGAGTTCAACCAACACAGTGTGAAGAAGTCTTTCCTTCCAGACACCAGGATTTCTATTTCTTTTGGGGCTACCCCTAGAAAGCACTAAATCCCCCTTGTATAAATCATGGGTCCTCCTTGTGCAATGGAACTGGACTGGACCAATCATTGGCAGAAGGAAATTCATGGGGTATAAAGGAATTGGTGGAGGTATAAGTGATCCACTGGTCTCTAGCACCCCTCCCCCAGTAAAAAATAAAGAAGTCAGCAAGCAAGTGATGTGTGGGAGCTTGTATGCCTCAGGCCCTGAAGAGCCCTGGCAGTCAAAGGCAGCAATACCAGTCTACAGGGCAAATCATCTGGACTGGCAGCTACCTAGAACCAGGTGAACAAATTGTTTTGCAATCTGCTTAATAAATTGGTAATTTCATTTCTGTTTTTTGTAGGCTGCGAGACTGCCCTTTTATTCCCAATGCGTTCCAAAAAGATCTTTGTGAGTGTTCATCCAACAGCTGAAATGATGCTCCAGTCCTTTACTGCCTGCTCATGGGTTAAGGTGACTGAAATGCTGGACAAAACAATTGTGTTCTCCTATGGGACAAAGCACAACCCCTATGAAATCCAGCTTTACCTGAGCTACGAGTCTGTTGTTCTTGTTATAGGCAGTGATCTCAACAAGATAATTGCCACGAATGTAATCTCTTCTGGGCAGTGGACTCACATTTGTGGCACCTGGAGTGCGGTTAATGGAAATACATCACTGTGGATCAATGGAAAGGCAGTGGCAGCTTCCTCAGCCATAGCTGAGAACCACTTCATTCCAGATGGAGGAATTCTGCAGATCGGCCAAGAAAAGAATGGCTGCTGTGTCGGAGGTGGTTTTAACGAATCTTTAGCCTTTTCTGGAAAAATAACTGACTTTAATATTTGGAACAGAGTCCTCAGTGATAATGAGGTAACAAGACAAATGAGACAAGACTCATGTAACAGCCGTGGCAACGTTGTTGGGTGGGGAGTCACAGAGGTTCTGCCTCACGGAGGAGCCCAGTACATTTTTGGGCCCTGAACTAATGCTCTCAAACTCTATATAAACGCATCAAACACACAGACTCTAGGAAACCTGAATATTTGTTTTTTTAGGGCTGGTAAAATAATACAGTTACCACAGGGAGATCACAATAGAAAAGCAGTGGCATGAAGAAAACAGACCAGTTCTTGAGATTCCAGTTAGCTCTAGTGCATGCACGGACTTTGAATGAGGTTCCACGGGGAAAGAAGCTCCAGGCGACTGGAGGAGTTACATCACCTCACCCCCATTTCTCTGTTCTTCTGTGGCCAAAAAGTAGAAAGGTGCTGCCAGGAGGTGGGCACATGGGCAAGCAACTTCAAGGGAGGGCTGGAAGACGGTTCTCCACAAAAGAGGCTCTAGCTGCTAAGTCTCCTGGAAGCACTCTCGCTGCGTGGCACCTCGGCCAGAGGTGTACAGAACAGTAGTAATCAGGAGCAGTGGCTTCCATGCGCCATCTTGACAGCCTGACCTGCTCTTAAATATCTCTCATGAAGAGTTAGTACTGTAAACATACTGCTCTACACTGAAGCATGGATGCAACATTGTCTTAGTAAACATAGTTAAATCATAATCAAAATGAATTTTTGAACATACTGAAGAATTATATTGGAATAACTATTCTTAATGCAGAGGCTGCTCTCAGTATGGGTAGGATCCAGTGTCATACAAGTGGAAGTTGTACAAGAGTTCCACTTATGCAACTGGAGTGCCCCATCCCCTCCTCATGGCTTCATGCCCCCCAAATCAGCTCCAGAGAGCCCCTCCACCCTCCGAAGCAGATGTTGGGAAAGGCTGTGAGGTGGAGGGGAACTGCTTTCCACTGGGCTCTCTCCTGCTGGTGGAATGGCACCATCAAGCTGGATCCTGGGTTTAATCATACTGGAAATCTGGAGACAGATTTTGGCTATGTATGCAAACAAATAGCTTGAAAGCTAGCTACCAAGTTAATTTTAGCCCATCTCTTAGGGGCCTCTTTGTTGATTTTATATTATGAATGTGAATTTTGCTGATGAACTTTGTGTCATAAAGTAATATTTGCTGGTTTTGTTCCTTGTTACTGGTAGGTACACCTTAATAAAGCTAATGCCTTGTCCAAGAGGCTATTTATAATGGAGATCAATATAGCACTTGGATCACTTCAGTTTTCTTGCTTGAAATGGTACAGCTGTATTATATTGTAAATTGATTTTGTACTAACATTATTAAAATTATTTTTATAAAATTGTACTGTAAATAAAAATGCTTTATCCAACTCACGGTTCTTGTCATTTCATTAAGAGGTTTGATTTTGGAATTTTCTTTCTACTTATCTTTCCTTTCAACAGAATCTATGATTCCTTACAAGGAGAAAAACCACACACAAGTAGATCTTGCACTAAGCAGAACAAAGCCTGCTATAGTCAAAGGTCATACTGAGCCTTTGGCCATTCCAGGAAAAGCTACTCCATAGGAATGTGAGAGATTTGAAGAGATGACAGGGAACTCCCATAAGAGGAACAGGCTGAGTGCTGGGCAAAGTAACCCTTATACCATGTAATCATACAGTAACTTTCAGGATTAATAAAAAGTGCAACCAAATCACTATAACATTTAGCTGCATCCATTTCTAGAGCTTTCCTATTGCAGGATTGCTCCCACTCCTTCTATAATACAGCCCTGTTTCAGATATGCAGGAAATATTGGAATTCACAGCTGAAATTGCAAGGCCAATGCACTCGGAGAAAAGCCAAGCAGTCCTTGAAAAGGAGACAGTTCCAAGTTCCGTGGGAAATTTCAGAGAGCAAGTTGAGAGACTTCACAATGTTAGTTGGATCATATGCATCAGGTTAAGAAGGAAGACTACATCAGAAGTGTCAGATGTAGGTGAAGGTGGCTTTTTTATCCTTTGGAAGGGAGGCATTCAGTTTAGAATCAACTGTGCATCATTAAGTTACATTTCTGTAATAGCCAGTATTCTAACTTGGCTCATTTCTTTTGCTGTTGACTCTTGAAAAATTCTTCACATAGCCAGCCTAGCCAAAAAGGTTTTAGCATAAAGACATGTAGTTAGAAATCTTTTGTCTTGCCTGAAAGAAGGACTAGAATTTGCCTGTGACACTTACTTTACATATGTAGATTCACTTTCCAAAGAAGTCTTTTTTAACCCAAATACAGAGGTAAATTATGCATTCAGCCTCTGTGTTTTAAATAACATCTGAAGTAACTTTAAGTATGGCTAGAGATCTAGGCATTTCCAACAGTTCTGACATTAGTCATTTTATGATGAAAGCCTCACAGTGAGACCCTATCCTTAAGTTGTGCCTGCTGAGCAGGGATAGGATTACTAAAGTCTGCCAGAAGGAGAACCATGAATTAGAACTGGTATAATAACAGCACCACTAAGTCAGTGTGACAATGCCAATGCAAGGGAATAATTTAGCCAGCATCAAGACATGGTACGGAAGAATGGAGCTTCGTTTCATGTTCAACTGGAGGTTTCTTGAGCCCCCAACAGCATAATATCACACCAACTAAAGAGATGGCATAGATAAAATCTCTTCCTTTGGAGTCAGTGGAAAGCCGCAGACAACAACCCCATTTCTTCTGCTTCTACTCCTGCAACCACGTCAGATGCTAGGATTCTGACTCAAGATCAGATCATGTCACAACAGGCATATACGCATGTAAGCCCTAGCCAAGTTATCCATTACATTTATTTTGTAAAAATTAAACTAACCATGTGTATGCCAGGCCTTAGTTGTTAATTTTGAAGCTTCCAGGTGTAGATTCTCCAAAGCAGTGTTAGAAACTAATCCTGGAATAAGTCTGGCACTGAACCTTGCAGCAGACCAACACTGTTCAGGCCATGGGTCAAACTCCAAGGAAATAATGAATGCAGTTTGAAATTTGTCCTTGAGGATCTCTAGGGCTCACTGACTGTTCTGTACGTGCGGAAGAAAAGAGGATCATGCCATCCAGTCTGGCCCTGATCTCTGCGCATTGAGTGGAAGGCAAGCATGGAACTTTTGTGTGCCTACTGTTGTATCTGCATAGACCCTTCCGTCGCTCAGGGGCCCTGTGTGATCAGGGATCCTGATCACGTGAAAGGAGCTACACACATATCCCTCTGTGCACACACAGCCCAATTCTCATCTCCCACTGAATATACAGGGGCTGGAGGTGGCACCCATGAACGCAACCTACTTCCCCATGCTTTCTATCACCTTGTGGAGTGGAAAGTGAGCACTGTATACTTTTGACGATATGGGTGTCACCGAAATTCTGGAATAGTAAGGACACATATTTCGAGTACAAACCATAGGTAACATATTGAACACAGAATAAGGGCCTTTCCTTATTCGAATGAGCATCTGATTGAAATATTAAAGGTGGGAAATCTATCTGTGCTAAGATTTAAGCAGCAAAACATGGTTAAATATACTTGTTAAAATCATCTTCCTTTAGTTTAGATCTTAAGAAGACTAGGTCAAATTTCAGTCTGCAATAATTAAACTTCCATGATACTTCTGTAGCTGCTTCTGGGCAACCAACTACAACATGAGGTGAGGGGAAAATACCAGCAACGCATTCCAACCACAGCCCTGCTTCTTCCAAACACCTGACTGGCAATATTATTGCTTTGGTTACCAGCTGTGCACACTTAGCCTCCACAGCTAGAATGTCATACATGGTACCCATTTGCACATGCAATTCCTCATCCAAATGTTAGTGCATGCCCAAAAGATGGTTTCTGTACACTTTTAGTCCCTAGATCAGCCTTCCTCAATCAGATTTATTGGACTACAAGTTGCGGAAGGCTGCCCTAGATAGACCAGGGTGTTTGTTCATATAAACAGTTCGCAAACGTCCCACATACCGTTTCTTCTCCTAAAAATAAGTCTGCTCATTTCTGACTCCCTATTTCCTACAGCATCATGATGAAAGTAACCATTAACTGCAATTTCATCTTAGACATCAAGAGCAGCATCTGCTGGTAGAAGAAAGTAAATGCAAAAAGAAGAAGAAGAAGAAGAAGAAGAAGAAGAAGAAGAAGAAGAAGAAGAAGAAGAA